GATACAGCGTAACTAGATTAAAAATAAATATTTCGGTCAATAAAATAACAACTGTTTATTTCTCTGATTTATACGAAAAAAAGTATTGCGTTTGGGTAATGAAACTTGATCCTAAAATCGTCTATGATAATACGTGGCTTCTAGTGGTACTAGGTTGCTAATCGCTTGCAAGTGTCGGGCGTCGCGTCGTGCGCTTTTTGCGGTGCAATGTGCGGCGGGTCTAATTGGCCGCTCTGTCGCTAATTGAACGGTTAGCCGGTACTGGTCGCAGTACCTAGCCGTGTTTGTTAAACTATTAAGCGGCTTATTAAATGTGATTTGTGGATATCGTTCTTTCCTATTTTGATGGTTTGATTTAGTTTGGTACGCCAGAAGGAATTTTATATATAAATTTCAAGTGTAAAGTAAGTAGCTTCGCGAGGTCGTTCGCTAAGTACCCAAATGCCAAGCTAACCAACTTTAACTGAAACACGCCTGTGACTCCTCTGGTGTTGTATAGGCATCCATGAGCGGCGCTGACCACTTACCATCAGGTGATCCGTCTGCTCGTTTGACTCCTATTCCATAAAAAAAAACCTCAACCCGATGACAGAAAATTGTTAAATGAGGTTTAACTAGCTACTTAACTTACATTTATTTTTAAGTTGTTTTATTGCTTTAAGTGCAACTATGGTTTAACATCCTTTCTTCATCTCCAGTCTGCTAGGATAATAAAAAGGATTATAATAACCCAAAACAACTAAAACAGGGCAAAAAAGAACAATAGACCCTTCAGATAGGCGTGTAGAAAATAAAGGCAACCATTCAAAAATAACAGCTTTACATGAGAAGAAGATTTAGAGTATTCTCCTGACTATAACATTACAATGAAACCGGTAGATAAATATATAATAAGTACAAAAAGTTGTTTCAGAAATAGAGCCCCTTATAGAATTGCAGCTGCCCTCATACCAGCTCAAGGCAAACCGCCCGCTTCTTTTAGGCCCCGTTTTGCAACGTAAATTGTTTTTTTTTTTCTTTTAACCAAAGACTAGAGCTTACAATGGCACGGATAAGTTTATACCTTCTTAGTTTATAGACTGTAATGGAGGTCCGCATTAATTAATTTATGAAGGCAATTTGATGACTAAAACGGTATTGAAGCTCTTGTTGAGTAGCGAGGTTATTTATAGCGGTTTTTATTGACAACAACTCTTTTGATTACGTCGACAAGTTAATTTAATGTCTATTCATACAGTTATCATAATAAAAATCGTCTATCGTTATTCGTTTACACGAAAAATTCGATAAATTTGAAAGAAGTTAGACTTTCTTCCTCGACAAATTGAAACATTCGTCAAAAATCTGTCACATAACATTAAGAAACTATCTCCTATCTCGTAGTATTATTGATAACTCCTTCGAGGTTCTAGATCTAGATCACTAGTGCCTCCAAGGCCGAAGGGAATTGAATAAAAATAATATAGATAGATACACTTATTCGCATATTTTCTGTCTGGTTTTATTCCTCGGAACGCACCTGCCCCGACATTCGTATCTCCGTCCTTATCGTGTGCATAATTTCAAGGATGTAGCTATCTCTTTCTATAATATGACATGTTTGTTTTTATCGCCATTATTAACCGTGCGATTGTGATCTGAATGAATTAATGGACACTCCACACTATGTTTTACTATATCTGTAAGATTGTTTTTATTAATTATGGAAGTGTCGCTTCTAATGAAATGCTTTTTCATCGGGTTACTTTGAACTGGCCAGATAATTTTGAGCCAAACTCCTTAACCACTAAGCCACCACAGAACAAACTGTACCTAAGTACCTACATATTTTTTTTCGTTTCGCATTTTGGATATAAAAGCTATTCTGCAGGGTCAAAGTAACCCTAATTTACTTAAAACCTTTCTATTGATGCTAGGCACATTATACTTATCATAAGTCAAAGATTGTTCGTTTGCCGTCTAGGATTTCTTGGATTATCGTAAATTTGAAAAGTCTGCATGAGGATTTGTTAGAGATGGTCGTAGTCATGCTTGGCTTTGTGAAACATACTTACCTGTATTTATCAGTTACTTGTAGCAAATAAAAATGTAGGAGGCAATTGAGCCGATGCATCACCCGATGTTAATTGATACCTAAGTAATCATCGAAGCCCATGAATTTCGCCTATTTCTTTAAGATTTTTTCTGTTGTGTTATTTTCGATGGAGCACAAATTTTAAAATAGGTTCTAAGCCACTAACTTGCGTGACAAGACGCACATAATAGATAAAAAATAAATTTTACCAGATAACAATATTGTCTATCATAATACTGATATTGTCGCTATCATCATCAATAGTCTGTAATTCTTTACTTATCTTATTTAATGACTGAATGAAAAAGCTTAGGAGGTAACAATATCTTACAAAAAAATAACATTAAGTACCTATTTTTTCATAAAAATGCATCGCGAGATGCGGATCTCAAAAATGACTGCATCACTATATATTTTCCAATATATATTTTTTTATTTCTGGCAATACCTACGTATGTAGGTAAATAAGTATGAATAAATAGGAAAACATGAAAGTAGAACTTTTCTTTAGACAAATAAAACCTCTCTAATCTGACCTTAAAAACCTTAGAAAGGTAAACGTTAAGGTAAACGTAGTTGAAATATGAATGCAAATTGAAGAAAATTTTACTTTAAAATACGTTAAAAGAAAAACTCATTTCTCAACAAGCTAACAGTAACAAACAATGATCTTGTAAAGCAAATTATGTAAAAAAGATCGTGCAAGCCCGCTACAGCTCGAGAGGCGGTACGGTTGGAGTGCCGTACTCCAAGCTAGGGCCGCCTCCCCGCCCTCGTATCAGCCGACCACGAAGTTCGCAATAACGGTACGCGAGCGCACACTAGCGCCCGAGCGGAATTTGACCGAACTACATATTATGTCGTCGACAGTTGACTGATGCAATGTTTTTATTTTTGTATTCAATTATTACAGCTGGCCAGTTATTTGTTATGAAATAATATTGCTGAATAATGAGTGTGTCGATTTAATAGTTGCTTTTAAATGAAGATCATCAAAATATTTTACGTACTTAGGTATTTATTCATGATTTTTATGTTTTATATTATTCTTCTATGTATTTATACCTACGTATTTTACGTAGTTGTACATTAATATTAATACCGGTTCCTTTTTTAAAAACAGTAGTTACCAACCAAGATATCGTACTCACAGAATTATTTCCGTATTCGTTGTTTCTAACCAAAAAAAAGTATCCATCAAAAGTTTCAAACAACGGCCCACATAAAAACAACACTCATGCAATCGGAAGTGGTGGCGCACACTATCTACAAATGTGGTGTGAAGTCGTACCTAATGTGTGTGCGGGACACTAAATGGTAACACGACACACGTCTGGCCCGACCACATCCGACAGATGTAGGCAATGTAAGTAGGTAGGTAAGTACCTACGACGGGCCGCCATGATAAAACTCTTTCAAGTTTCTTTGTTTGAAATATAACCTCTTTTGTAGGAATAATAAATCGTTAGGATTACATATTTACACACTACAAAGGCCAAGGGAAGTGGAATGATAGATTTAAATATGGCTTGGTCATTGAAAGAAGAGTATTATGTTCTAGGTTCCAGCCGTGGCTTCTTTCGCGTAGTATTTTGATAAAATCTCTCGTGTTAATCATGGGTATCACCTATATAAACCTACCAAATTTGAACAAAATTAGGTCAACCCTTTTTGCATAAAAGAATAACAAACAGATGCATACATTCCCACATCACATTTATAATATTAGTAGAATTAGTAAAATAGTAAGTAGGATCTTACTGGGTTTTAGGTTACTTAAATATGTAGTTATGTAGGTATATAGAACAGTTTAGACTAAAGGTTCTTCAACTCTAAAAACATTGTGAAATTCAACTTCCAATCACAAATGACCAACCCCTAAATATCGGAAATTCACAACTTCGTCGAAAATTGTTTACCGATATTTCTCCGGTGCGGGGGCAAGTGAGTGAGCGAAAAACGGGAGCCCGACATCCATTTATCTAACTAACGCATCATCCAACATCCAGCTATGCAACGTTTGAACGATAACTCACTTACCTACTCGGCTATCTGTACCTCCTCTAAACTGTTTCACAAAACTTCGATTTACTAATACGGAGTTTTGATCTGAATCTAAACATACATAATCTCGGCAATTTAATCATGATTTTAACCTTTTTTGTGGGCAGAAAATAGTCTTGGGACATCTCTCGCCCGGGCGGAGCGAGTGGGAGTGTCAGACTCTTACTGACTAAAAACCAGCCCGTTCCTTCTCCTCCTCCAAGTCGTAGTAGTCGTCCTTTAGAATACTTTCTGGCCTTAAAGATGATGAACACACAAATTATAGTAAAAAAAGGTTGGAATTCCAAAGAAGTTTGAGAAGCAATTCGTGTGCTCACTACCGAATGTCCTTATGACCAAACGGACACCGAATAAAAGCTAGCAGCTCATACCTACCTACTATAGGTACGTTGAATACAGCTCACTACCCTTGACCCTGACTTCGTTCTCACAATATACAAGTCCCATTTCATCTCAAAGTAACATCTTATTGTTCTACACACTATCAGATTATCGTTGAAAGCTCGTAAAGCCGTTGGTCTTACGTCTGATGTACCTCCGTCGGAGTCGTATTGCAGTCCCAACGGATTTTTACAGAGAACAAATTGGACCTGTACCTTCTTGGTAGACTTATAACTAATGATTTATATTCTATACTTAAATTACGTATCTTTTATTCGCAAAATGATTTAATTAATGTCAAACAAATCTGATTCACTGCTTCACTGTTATTGGTTGATTCATGTATACGTCTTTTTCGGAACAGTTTTTTTATTGACGTCATTAAGGATTTGTAATGTCTAAAAAGGAAAGGAAAACTTAGTAATTGCTTTCAATTTTCTTCTATATTTGTAAATATTAAATGTATTTTCCTTTGTTTCAGGATATTACCAGCCCGCAGGGCCTCTAATCAAAGAGACGAGTGCTGATGCAGAGCGTACACTCGCCAGATACCATCCACATTACCACGCGCCGCATCCACCGGTAAGAACAAATTTTAGCAAATTTTGTAATAAGAAGCTTTAAAACAAATGAAATGTCATAACATCAGGATATCTATTTTTAAGTAATGTAAATTTTAAAGTATTTTAAACAGGTATAATACGTGTATATCCTGATTCGGTATCCCTATATCACAAAAACCTATTGTGAAACTGATTGGTTTCTTACTCGTTCTTCTCCTTCAGCATCTACACCTTGTATCGAGCAAATAGCTACACTAAAGGACAGGCCGACAGACTGACACACACAAAATTGACCTGTTTGATTTATTTATTTTTTACTTTGGAAGTGCCAATAATGGCCTATTTGAAATAAATGATTTGAGTTTGACTTAGTACATCGATAAATCTTCTTAATAGCGATACAACGACAACGCGGCAACGGCTTTAAGTATTTTACAAGCAAAAGGCACCATAAAATATATGTAGGCAATTTTATAATTATCTAACACTGTCAAAGCAAACTAAAGGAACTCTAATAGGTTAGAAGGTAACTTGATCTGTTCATTATACAGGTTTTTATTCCTCAGGTACTGCAACAATATGGCCCACCATACTACCCAGACCTCTGTTACGGTCGCTACTACCGGCCTCCTGGGTCATACCACATGCCACCACCGCAGCCAGACGCACAGGTAAGGAAACGGATTACACGTCTTTGGAAATAAACTAGAATACTCTTTCTTAACCTCTTGCCTGGTACCTATATGACAAACAATGGAAATATATACCACGGTTTAAGCAGAAAAAGCACCACTCCAAAATTGGACCCCATGTTTGGGATCTTCGACTTTCTAGTGTGTGTATCATACGACAGTTTTCAACACACTTCTGAATAAAATAAGACTTAAAAACTTACCATTTTCCATGGAGTTTTCTACCAAACTCCATAACGTTATGGACTTCACATCTTATATTGGGCGGTGTACTACATAAATAATTATCTCCGTAAATTTTATTTGCAGACATCCTCATTAATAACGAACTAAAAAACGTCACAAGAGAAAACGATACGAGTTATGAAAAATGTCTCGTAATGGCGGGAAAAATTACTCAACGCGTGCGCATCGGCCATAGACTAAAAAATTTGGTTTCTTTATTGGGCTTTTCTCGGATAGCATTTTAGCGCAGGTGTAAACGTAACTCAAGTATTAATATAAAAAAACACTATTAATCACTCGTGATTAATATTACCTAATGTAAAAGTCACAGTTTGATTATAGGTGTCATTATGTGCCTAGTTGCCAGGGGATTAGAGCCACTTTATGAGGAAGTGTGTTGAGAACATTGCTGTCAAACTCTTATTTTTTTTTAATGAAGGTGTAGTTTTTTTTACTGAGTACCTACTGACCTCTGTTTTTGTTTGTTTCCAGATGGTTGGTGTCGGCAGTGAACCGTATCCACCACCACCACAGTATTATGGCACACCGCCATGTTACCAACATTCTCCTCAAAGGATACCATACGTAGGTCAGTACGATCCATCCATTTTCTCAAGGATTCTTACACTTTGTTCATACGGTCAGAAGATGTCATCCATCATTTATTTTGTGATACTAAAAATACTATCGCAAACACGTTTATAGATCAAGGTGATCTCAAAGATAGATCTTAACTTTTAATGTTTCTTCACATCAAAATTCGTAATTTGATTAAATGCATCTGCGCGACCTTCACATGTTTATACTGAAATTAATTAGCACTTTAAACTGGCCATTATTGTCTCCACCTGTTTTTCTTAAAAGAAACGTTTCTTACAGAATATCGCGGATGCCCGTGCCCATTGAACGCGTGTCCAAAAAACGTGCTTATTGGGCCCGCTACTGGTAAAGCCCCAGCCGGTGGTGGCCCAGCAGACGTTCCCCCTGCTCTCGCGCCGCCCGGGGGCGCCTTCCGACCGAAGGTGCGGGCGTGCGCTCTTGACGCTGTCGCAGACACACATGGCAGCGGCAAGGTACGTTTTTATTTCTGAGTACGAACTTTTATGATAAAGTTTTCAAGTAATCTTTTACGACAAAGAATTTTCATAAAATATTCGTACAGTATATCTAATATTTAAATTTAACTTGCATTGTTTTAGGACCCGCCACTAGAACTGGAACCTCCAGCTGCAGCGGACGCTCCTCACCCCTGTGCTATGCCAGCAATGGGAGGCGTTTCTCCTAAACGAGAGATCTATGATGTTCGGGATAAACTACGCATCGCTAATGACATACCCGGACCTGCGGAGGCTCTCGGACCACCATCGCCCGCTCGGGGCTCAGCAGGAGCCTGTGCTCCACAACCTCCACCTGTGGCTCCACGCCGTGCTCGCCTCGGCAAGGCCATGGCTAGGCGATCCCTTGCAGGCGATGACACTGGTCTTCTACTATCCACGCCACAGCCTCCAATAATAGCCCATCACAGTGATGCTGATGACGATGTGCTTGCCATTTCACCTCCAACCTGTGCTCCAATTGACCTCTCTTCTTCAGACGAAAGGTCGACGCCACTAGTCGATGTTAAGAAAGAAAATGAAGGTCCAACGTATAACACCGCACGAAAACCAGAAGCACAAGCGCTTAGAGAGCATAATAGCACTACAGTTATGGACGCTAACATCGTTCCTGATGCAGCTAAAGCGGTGAAACGAAGATATTCAAAGCCAAAATTAGAGATTGATATGAAAGATACACAACTTGAGGAATCTTGTAAGACGAATGGAATCGGGGAACATGTGAAACTCCAAAAGCGAAGAAAAGTTTCGGGAGATCAGACTGATATTCAGAGAGTAGAAACTGTTACTAAAGAGCCCAAGAAAAAGCAAACCCAAACTAAGAAAATTCCAAAATCACCACCATCCGATAAAAAAACTGTTAAACGGAAATCAGAAAGTGCCACGGGTGGGTCTAAGCCAAAAAAGATGCTTCTTGAGAATGATGAAGATAATAAAGTCAAAAATATTGTCGCAATCATCGATGAATCACATCCTGCAAAACCAAAAAATAAAAGTGCTTTACTTCTTGACAATTTAATTCGGAAAAATAGCATCGACCGGCCTGAAACAAAGGGCTTAGACGCTGAACTAAATCCAGCTGAACTGTTCCTATCTCCTACGGAAAACATCGCACAAATTAGTGCTAAGAAAACCTTAAACATAAACAATAATATAGTAGACAATGGAAACAATACCGTTAATGGGGTCCGGGCTAATACACTTGCCGCGGTGTCTCAATTAATAGGCAAGAAAATGGCTTGTAAGTTAGAAAAAGTTGATTCCAAAGTAAGTAACGAAGTAAAATCAGTATTAAAGTCACCCACCGTAAAAGCTGTTTCTGAAAATGACTGTAAACCTTTGAGTATAAATGATAATATCGAAGAAAAATTGAAACCCTGCACTAAAACAGAAACTGAAATCATTATACCTCAAGCCGAAAAAGATGTACCAGACATGTTAAAAGATAATAAAAATTGTACTAACACTATTGTGGCAGACATACCAGCACAAGTAACTATAGCAACAAAGGAAAAGGAAGATTTTGAATTAGAAGTTGAAGAAATGGAGATCGAAGACGCGGAAAAGATAGAAGACAGTGAGGACAAAACAATATCTGAGAATGAAAAGGAGAAGCCAAAACCAGTAAAGCTTGATAGAACGACGGTGAAGCGATGCAAATTGGCAAATGGAGAAATGAAGGCTAAAAATGTGGAAAAAGTAGTTAAATTATTGGTATCAAAGAGGCCAGCATTTAAGACAGATGAGGCAACGTTAGTAGTGGAGGAAGCCTGTGCATCCCCAACGCCCACCGGGCCGGGGATGAGGCGCGCGCGGCGCCGGGGGGCGGGACACTCGCGCCGCGGCCGGCGTCCGCTCGTGCCGCCCGCCCCGCCCGCACTCGAACCCCACGCCCCGCCGCGCTGGAGCAACGGCTGGAACTGGGACGGCGAACATTACCTATCCAAAGTCTACCTCAATGTAAGTGCCAACAATGTACCTTGGTAGTGTAAAGATAGTCAGTGATGAGTGCGGAATCATTGTGAATAAAAATTATTAAATATTACAGAATGACTCCAAACTGGACCGCACGGCACGATGCTGGTCGCGCATGACGCACGCCAGCGGCGACAGCGTGGCGCGAGGTGACTGCGTGCTGTTGAGGGCATCCCTTGCCAGAGCACAACCTTACGTCGCCAGGGTCGCTAGTCTATGGGAGAACCCTGATGATGGTGAGGAACTTTAAAATAAACAAACATTATAAAATCAAATACAGAAAAAAAAACATCAAATTAATTGAATTGTGAACTTTGCAGGGGAAATGATGGTGTCTCTGGTATGGTATTACCGGCCGGAGCATACGGAACTCGGGCGACAGCCGGCAGATGCACCCGACGAAGTATTCGCGTCACGACACCGCGATGCCAACTCTGTGGCCTGCATCGAGGATAAGTGCTACGTGCTCACCTTCAATGAGTACTGCCGGTCAGTGAGATGAGGAACAGTTTACCTTATTTTAAATACTTACAAGAAATCGTTGTATCAGTGCAAAGTACAATTACAGGCAAAATATTAATAAATGTTTTTCTTGGCAGGTACCGCAAACGGCTAAAAGCGGCTGAAGAAGGCGTCACCATCACCCCATCAATCGTACCTCCGATGCCAGCCAGCGAGGTGAGCCCGGCAGTGGCGCCCAACGACAGTCGCCTGCCGCCCTCCGTGTCCCCCGAGCTGGTGCTATTCTGCCGCAAGATATACGACTTCAGGTCCAAGAAGATACACGTACCTAACAAATGAAATCCTGAGCGATATCGTCTGGATGTCGTTTATAAGATCTGTGTCGATCTGTGCACCGAGGATGAGGCGTCGACGCCTTGCGGATGCGTCACAACAAATTTTTACAAAGTATTTTATCTAAAGGAAGTGAACACCAAAGTTACGTTATGAAGTTGTATCTCGTTAGTTGTCGACAGCACTCGGCGGTTCTCGGTGTAACTCGGTGGATGGACGCCGCGACGGTGGTCCCGCAGACTTCATCGTTTCTTATATAGTAGTGTCTCATTGCAAACCTTTAAATTAGTACAAAAACGCGTTCCCGGGTGCAAATCGTAGAATGTGTGACCTGTGGCCATTTTATGTGAACATAAACTACGTAATCGTTGTGTTTAGTCGCCAGTCGGTCAGTTTTGTTGCTTGTGTCGTGATTTGTCGTAGAAGTTTATTTCGTATCTAGACTTACAGTGATTTGCGGTATCAAATAATTTGGATGAATAATTATTTGTATCAAAGGATGCCTTTTTTAATGTGTAAGTAGTTATAAGGAAATCATGTTTGAGATGCATAATTATGTATAGCAATATATTTTTCTTTTTGCTTGAAATTAAGATGAGCGAATGTCCTATTTATTCTCATTCTTGTTAAAGTAATGAGATGCTGAGTACTGATTGATGGCTATTCATTATAGCTGATACGATTTTGTATGACATTTAAGATTTGATTGGCTACTGGGAAATTGAAAAGGCATTTATAATGATTACAAACTTATGTTTAATTATGTACCTATTTGTTATATTATTGCGCAGACTTTATCTCGTTATATAGTCTGTGTATTGTTGTCAAAGTAGAGTCTATATTAAATTATTCTTTTATTTTAAGAGCGTAGGTGCGGGTGCGTGCTATTAAATCATCGCGATTGGATCTCTTCTGTACTTGGCGCTCGCGATTTGATACATCACATACGATAGTGCGCATCGTAGCTCGCGATACACGTATCTTGTCGAACTATATTGTTTACGTTTCGAAAATATACGGGACTCTTACAAAGAGTTTGCAATTAAATTAAGTAGTTATTGATACATCACAAATTTTGCAATTTTTATAATTTTATGACATAGGATCGTAATTATAATCGGATAACGGGGTGAAGGTTGCCTCAGTTAAGTTCCGTATCAATTGTGTAGCCCCTGCCAACAATGTAATAACGTTCCCGTAGGCGCGCTCGATGTCATCCGCAGCCGTTTTTAAACGTTCAAATATCAAGTAAAAAATACAAAAGTATTTAACTTTAACCCTGCCTTCGAAGGAATTGATTTTAAATTGCATTTCGGCCTTTAATATCCAACGTAGGAAGTAATTATTTCAATTAGGACCGGTCCAAAGTAGTTACAGGAAGACTGATTTTGCGAAAAGTTTTAAAATGTTGTCTATTTATTTTATTTATTTAGCAACATTACCCAAAACGAAAATTCAAAAAGTTTTCTTTTTGTTTGTTTTCATAAACACGTCAGGCAATATTTACAATTTACGGAAAATAACAAATGGGAACATTGTAACATATTTTAAATGTAATATTAGTGCATAGATGTATACAAAACAAAAGAAAAACACTTCGGTGTTAAAGAGATATATTGTAAGACTATAATAGTGAAATCTCTTTATCATTAGAAACATATTTTTAAGTAGTGCGATCGAAATAAAAAAATATATATTTAACGTTACATTTCCTACGCGGAAATTGAAGAAAGGGCATTTATATGAACTTTTCAATTTAATTACTTTATCATTTCTTTCTTCACTATTTCCTACAATGTATCTCTATATTGTGTTGACTATTATTTTGTACATACTATAATTTGTTTTAGTGTCCACAAACTATTTGTTATCCAGTGAGATTTGTAACCACTAATCGTTTTGATTTTTCCGAACTAATGGAGGTAAATATTCTCTTTGATTCTTGTGAAACGTGCATTCCGTTTAACGATAGATAAATAAATAAATCTGAGGGCATGCGATATGATCGTGAACGCAACATTTTAATTACCTACTGGCTGCAGTATTTACATATGCTTTTTGCTAAATAAGGTAGACATACCTTTACGGAATATTTTGTTTAAGTACGTATATTAATTTCTGTTTTATCTTCACACATAACGTTCAGACTTTACCTAGGGTATTGAGATTGGGCTTTAGCCCTGAGGATTTGTACTTATTGTCTAAAAATATTTATTTATAAATAGGTGCAAGTCCTTATCACACTCAAAAGGGTTGCCTATCAAATTTTAAATGTCATTAATTTATTAAACAGCAAAATGTTACAATTAGTTGTAAGTAGTGATCCTCAGGGTGGCATTTAAGTTTTATAAAGTTAAACTTTTTATTTCTATGACAGCTAACTTTTTAATTTGTATTACCTATCACATTTCAAGCCACAATCTCACTGGTTGTCTATTCCAAAGCTTAAGTTGTCTATGTTCTTTTATTTCTTTTTCATTGCTTGATGCCAAAAATTTTATCTGCAAAAATTCTATTATTCAGTAATTATGTAATACCAGTCTCCTTCTATTTAGGTTAAAGGATGACGGGAGAGTCGGCGCCTGACATTTACCACAACGTATAATATAGTCCATACCTAGTATCTAGGTCAAATAAACTCCCAGTTTTCATAAAAAAAAACCCTATCGAACCCCGTAGCATGCTTACTGTATTTATCGTAGTCCATGTCGTAGGTTATAGTTTTAGAGCACAAATACCTACAATGGACGCGTTTTACAAGTTTGATCATGTGCTGATTCGCCCGACATCAATACTCATTATTAATTAATCATAGAATTAATGAGTAAATTCCATAATAATACTATAAGTGAGCTCTCCCTTGCTTGTAGGAGGATTGTTTTTAAATGTTACCTGGACAAAGCGCGATTGCAACCTTCTATAGTCAATGATTTTAGCGTTAGCTCTACTAATAAGGAAATACCTTGTTTTTATTATTTATTTTGTTTCAATGAAAATTATATAGGTATATTTTATTATTGTAACCTACATAGTTACGTTGGCTGTAATTTAATATTGATGTAATTAATATATGTATTTTTATTTCAATTTTGGTCTTTTATTAAAACCCAAAAAGCTTACCCAAGCACCTGTGGTAGGTATGGTAAACTTATATCACTACGTATCTAGTATAATGTCGTTATCAGTCCCTGAAACAATGACCTCAGTGATATACACTCGATGATGTAGGTACTGCACTGCCGTAGCGGCTGTAGCCGATGTCAAATTCCCAACCAACGACGAACCCAGCTATACCGACCTGGCAGCGCAGGATCGAGCGTCGTATTGCTGGGGCCAGAGCACTCATTGGCAAACTAATTTACTTCAGGGACGGTAATACTCGCCCTAGAGTGATGCGCTTTGTGAGATGGGCTTTTTCGGGGACAGGCAGCAGCTCCCAAGGCTGTTCCTACCTGTGATCAGAGTCACAGAGCGCAGCGACTTTCTGAAGCAGAAGATAAGCATGGGCAATCCGTATTAACCACAGAATACACCCAGAATCGCGCATTCCTGAGTAATTAAAAGTGGTTGTATAGGGCGTGGGAGCGATCGGTTCAAGGTGTGTGATGACCATTTAGCCAATAGCTCGGACCCTGTTCCCGATGCCGATGGGTCCCTATTTATTTTATATGTTTTTTAAATTAATGAAGGTAATAATTGTAGGTGCAATAAAACCTTTATAATCTAGGAGGTAGGCACCTACATAGGCCAGCAGAAATCAACAAGTAAGTATTACCTACCTATAGCAAAGAGGATATAACCACTAGAGAGCTTATGGGCCGATTTCTAAGAACACGACTCACCACCGCGGTCCGGGGGACGAGGAATAACGCGCGACTGCAATTGGTCAGTTCAAGGCCAAGTTGCTTACGTATGGCTGTTATTAGGGATGATCTACTTTATTCAAGGGAAAATAGCTAATATCGATATTGACTAAACCATATACGTATATCTATTCATTTTTCACTAAGTTCCGGAACCTACGAAAATGTAAAATGAAAACATACAGGCCACACAGACGAATAAAAGTTTAACAGAAAAAAATCCAAATCTGTAAAGCCAGTAGTACTTAGTAATAGGTACGGGAGCATTATACGTTAGAAAAATTCCGTGTTTTTATTTTGCGTGCTCGGAGGTCTAACACTTGGACACAATTAAATGGGTACTAGTTCCGACGCCTAGACATACCTACGCGACAAAATACTAATCGTTTTCGAGCGTAGGGGCACTGTGTATGCGCCGTCAAGTGGTTATATCGTCTTTGACCTATAGATACCTAGTTCAATTAATAATATTCTAGTCTATTCTTGTCCAAAAAAAAAAAATTTTTTGAATTCTAAATCTAAAAAAGAAATCAAGTGGTAAATCTTGTGAATGTGTGTGTAAATGATTGTACTTATACACGTGTAAATTATTTCGCAAGAGTAAGACAAGTTCTACTGGGCTTTCATTATGTATTTTGATAAATATCGATAAAGTGTAATGTCTGCTTGTAGCAGTGTCTTGTTTGCGTCGTTATATTATTTCGATCATATTCAAAATAAAATAAAACCCAAAATACTGACTTCAACGCCATCTAGTCGCCAAGAGCAGCCCGTAACATCCACCTTAAGCAGTAGGTACCTACTTAAATATATTGACTGAGAAAGTGAGGCGCCGAATGAGGGAGGTTTGAGGTTACCGGAGGCCCAATCCTTCCCCTTCCCCAATCCCTCCTCAATCCCTAAATCTCCAAATCCCTAATCCCTAAAAGGTCGGCAACGCACTCGTAACTCCTCCGTTGCGAGTGTCCATGGGCGGCGCTGATTGCTTACCATCAGGTAATCCGTCTGCTCGTTTGCCGACCCATTACATAAAAAAAAAGGTTCTGTTTCGGATTCAGCAGCAGTCTAGCTCACGGGTCGCGGGTGCCGTCACTGTAAGGACTATCCGGGTGATACGGTGGAGCATAATATGGTAGGTAGTGGTATTGTGTGTTTGGGCTATCCCCAGGAAAATCGTCGGTGGCGGCAATCTCTCGCGCCTGGTATTAGTTGATTAGTTCAGGTGCATTCCATGGTGCGGAGCTCAAGGAACTGGGAATCTTTCAGCCGAGGTTGCAGTTGCAATCGCAAAAATGTACCGTACCCCGTTATGGAGCAGCAGAAGGAAAGGGGTGGTGTTAGGCAGTAAGAGCCTAGCACTTCGTTTCGCCCTACTTAGATAGGAATAAGTCATTTCATGATACTCTTTTTTAACCTGTAAGTACATAAAATTGCCAACTGAAGATGACAAACGACAAAGTTGATTGATATGAAATACCTAATTTCGCACCATAAGCAGAGCAAGGGTCGAGACTCTTTTTGTTTTTTGATAATACAATGCCTACTACCTAGGTGTTTTCTCCTGTGAAATAGGTGCGTTTACATGTTGACATTGGTACATACAGATCACAACCAGATCCGGAGCACCGTGTAAGAATAGGTAGCATAAATAATTATACGTATCTACCATGCAGGAATCGTACCTGCGCACTTTACGCAGCTGTCGGTTGCCCAGCCACTGCGTTAACCACTGCAGTCTTGTAGTAGTTGTAGGTCACTATAACTGATTAAAAATCGCAACATTCCTGTTCCTGTTGATCTCCAACCTGGGCCAGAACGTCATTGAGCTTTAGCCGGATAAGTACTTAGCAAGGTAGAAAAAAAGAAAGCCAGACTCCGTTGTAAATATCGATTTATTTGTAAACACACGTCATGAAGCAAGTATACAATAAATAACGTCCGTCGTTAAACTTTCATTAACATGACATACAAAGAAGATATTACATACATTTAAACTTTTGCAATACTTTATATATACTTACATCCAAAATCCACGAACGATATCTTTGTATTTAATAAGTAGGTACGGTCAGTACATTTTAAAATTAAATTGAAAGTCATAAAGTAGTTGTTAATTTCATGGATTTTTTCTTGATTTAAACAAAGTGTAATAGAAATCAAATTAAATAATGCTGCAATTTTAACAATGGGAATATTGGCAGTAAACTGTTTTTGTCAATTAACAGAACCACACTACGATTATCGCTCTTATGTACTAGTTACTAAGGCGACTAATCGTCGTTTTAGAAAAACAAATACTGAAATCTTCGTTGACGTATATAACATTAAGACATTAAGAACACTAACAATTATGTACCGACCGTTATCAAGATTCGTCATTGAGATATCATTAGATATCAGCGTTTACTTTTTCTCGAAAATTGTATTTACAACTTTAATCAGTTACCTTCGTAACATATGCAAGAACCCGGCACACTTTCTAATTTACAGATCTATTCTACCAATAAGTAGGAATGTATTGCGGAAACAATTATCTTTTATAAACTCCGAGGTTAATCAAATGCAGTAACGAAGTAAATCAGGTCAATATGCAAAGGATCTAGGTCAGATAAAGTGACCCTCAGTCAGTGCCCCCGTCACCTATAGTGTCTGTAATAAATTTGTTGTCATTCACGCACTGAAGGTACAAAAACCACATGAAAAAATGTAAACCGAGTCAACTACAGAGTATGGTATACATAACTGAAGTAATAATAGCAATTAACGCAAGCTTCATCATGAGAGCTCATGGAGTAATTGCGTCATAACATCGACTGTTCATCTTTTATTTACCCAATAACAAACAAATTAAAACGTCCTGCAAACATAAAAAAAATTAAAGCGATAGCCAGACGCCATCTACTAGGATCTATATTTGTGATTAAAAAGAATGTAAAAGGCTTATTTTATATATGTATATCTATTTTATATCACCATAAGGTAAATAATGCGTAAAGTAAAAGGGCGTTTATGGAGAAAAAAATGTATAATGTGCCCATTCAATTTCATTCAAGCATCCCACACGTGTTTCTGATATAAATAAAGTGATCAAACGCCGACGTCACAGCATATTGCGTCGCAACTCGAACAAACAAAAACTACCTATTTCTATAAAAACTTGTTTGTAATAAACACACTGCTAGTTTTTGCATCGTTATTGTGTAAAATAATTCAATTTTAGTAATTTAATATTAATAGTAATGATAAAAACGATTCTACCTATTCTCTTAGACACAGAATCAATTTCAGATATTATTGCAAGAAAAAGACTTTGATGAAAATTTAAATCTATACCCAATACTGCCAATAACGGTATCAGACCGAGATATTTAATAATTCATAAAAAATATAAATCGACATACACAAAATATAATTTAGAAAAAACACTCGCAAATAGGCCAATAGGTAAAATAGTTTAATTGAAGCCAAAACGATAATTACTCCATAAAGCTTAGCAATTGAAGGAAAGATAGTGGTACAACATGATACAGATGAAATGATACTCACTAACAACACCTAATTGGATAATAAGAGACACCAAGACTTACTCCAGGTTCTTTTAATATTTCAGTATTAACATTTTGAATAGGTGGGGACCAAGGCTACTGAAATAAAAATCGTGAAATCATAAAGCTATAAAAATAGTTACTACATACATTCTGATAAACTGTGCGCTGAGTAAATAAGTATTTTATTTATTTATAACTTCTATCATATTTAGACACATTTATATAATAGTTTTAATACATACAAATTCCTCTTTTTTCCATTACATATTCATGACACTCTGTAGACTATTCTAGCTTTTTAACAATAACAACTACAGGACATATCAACATTCATATTAACATTTATTTAAGTATTATTGCTTACACACATCCATTACAACCAATAGAGGTACCACACAGATTTAGTGACTCTATCCCAGTATGCATTACAATATTAAATCCACTTTTGAGCCTAAAACAATATTCACATTATACATTTACAAGCCTTTCTTTTTAATTAATACCGTTCCACAATACTAAATAAAATTGTTGTAAAGAATACTGTTACAATAGAGTCGCTACAAAACTAAAACAATGATAAAATCTCTTTTTCTACTCAAGCACATTTACAAACCAGTTTGCATATCATTAATAGTAAAATTTACTATTTGTTCTGTTAGTTAACTTGATGATTGTAGTCCATTTAACATATTTGGATGTGTGCAGCCATTGCTGATGTTCTTTAATTATTGTAATTTCAACACTTAGGCCATGGTAAAAGCAATTATAGATGCTTATGGCAGTTTATATCAATTACTTTGTGATGATCACACTGGTTTGGCATCATAGCAACAATCCAATCTTAATACACATATGTTTTTGAAAACACACAACATTATTTTATGCAATAACAAAGTAACCCAAAAAACATAATAATATGCAATAACTACATAATTGAATACAATTTGACCGATGTCATTAAATCTAATATTTTTTTACAGTGGGTTTAATCATGGCCACAATATTATTTAATCAAGCCTACAAACTCCACTAAACAGCAAAAACATATTTTAATTAATTGAACTATGGCCAAGTCAGGTATAACATCAGAATGCCTTAGAAATTACAGCAGCTGTTAGTCTTTCGGGCAGTCTTGTAAAACAATTTACTCTGCATTGATAGACTTTCAGTCTTAGCAACAACATCGTCTAATTTCTCACCTCTTTCCAACACTGCTTTTATAGTGTCATGCAGTATGATCTTGGTTTCATCCAAATCATTTTGTATTTTCGTCAAAGCATCAGCTTCTCTGGGATTCTGATATTTAGTTAAATATTCAGGAAGGACATGGAAATCTATCCTATCCTCAGTCCCAGTAGGCCATTGAGTTGCTGGGACCGCTGCTGTGAATTCATCCAGTATTTTGGTAATCAATGTATGCGCCACCCTGTTTGGATACTCATGGTCTGATATCAGCACTCCTGCCAAGTTGTCTGATCTTACATATACTTGCAACATATATTCTCCCTCTTTCACTGACTGTCGGGATGCTTGCTGAGTTCTTTCTACTATTGTTTTGCTAACAAATACCATGAACTCTTGTACTGATCCACGTTGAAATATACTGAAACTTTGTAGATTATATGCTGCCTTGAGCAGAGTAGCATTATTGATGCCTTTGTAAAGGACAGCCAAAGCATAGATTTTTACCATTTTGATAGCACACTATTCAGCTTCAAGTGGTCCAAGTTAACTGAAAGTTTGGAAAACTTATAATTAATTGTAGTAGAAGTATTTTAAATAAGTAAAAAAATATTGTAATGGCACAATTAAAACAAAATTAAATAATGGGAGTACTTTCTAATTTTTGGAAGCAAATTCAATCACTATTATTACATAAACTAGTTAAATAATGATGCACCTTATGCCTACCATGCTCCTATTGTCTATATAAGTCGATTCAATGCTCTTTTAACCAAGAGAACTTAGATTTGTTTAAATGCAATTATGATTAGGCAAGGCACTTACCCAATTTGCTACTCTTGTTGCTGTTTTTGGTGAGTGGCACATAAGTCAACCACTTATCTACACTTGACTACAAAACCAAAAACCACCTTATTTTCAAAATTCATACATTCTAATCGATTAAGATCCGAAAGGTAAAGAAATATGTAATAAATTCTGATGAAATCAATTCTTAGTGCTTACGCACATACGTCTAAAAATTGTCGTGTCTCACTGACATGACATGGTCATAGCTGTCACTGTCAAAGCGACGAAACAAACCAGTTCGTACTCTTTACAATTTTTAACATGAAATGTTTTTTTATAAAATATAAACATTAATTAGACATAAAAATTGTTTTTAGCTTATAGGTAATGTACAACAAGATATAAAAGTAAAATATTTGCCCTAAAAACTAAAAAACAAGTTGTCCGACTGTTATCTGTGGCAATCTGTCTGTTTCAAAAGTGTTAAAACGTCAACTTATTCAGTGTCACTGTCAAATGGAGCAAGCAAAATAGCGTTCGTGTTTGTTGATTTGATTGTATTTTTCAGAGAAAATATTATTTAAAATTATGGCAGAAACCACAGAAAAGGTGGAAAGTGGATCAGATGCTAGAAGAAGAGTACTCACTATAGCGGTATCCACAGTTTTGTTAGAAACTGGGTTTGAAGGTACTGACAAAATGGCACTAGAAACTCTAACAGAAATGCTTCAATGTTGTAAGTAAACACTTTTTCTTCTACTCAAAATAATTCTTCTACTATTTGTAACCTTTTTTAGTTGTATAATTTAAACCACTAAACCACGTTCGTAAAATAAATTGCCACAATGAAAGGGTTGGTTGGCATCATTCATATACAAAAAAAGTTTAATGGTTAGTTCATAATATCTTTATTTATCCACATGTGTAAAATTAATGTGATGTGTATAATTAAACATTAAATCGGTACCAATTGAGAAACTTTGCACACATCTCTATAGTTTTTTTTTTTTTTTTAGTTTTGTCCGAAGTTGGAAATTCTGCCAAGAACTACTGTGAACTATCAGGCAGAGTGGAGCCAATGCTGGGAGATGTGATAATGGCCTTAGTCAATATGGGTGAGTAATAAATTTATAAAGTAAAACAATATGCCTACTTTTGTAACTTTATGATATTTATCCCATAATAATTTATCCGCAAGGCAGCTTGTGGCGAGCTGTTGGGCAGTGGCGACCCCACGGACCTGACTCCCGGGAGGTGTCTTGTTCTTCTCTCTCCGGTTAGTCCTCGTGACGAGCTGGAGTGAACACTGATGAAGAACAAGCCCTCCTACCTTATTCTTGCCTTAATTGGCTGGCTTGAGTGGAGATTCGCAAGAGTAGGAGTTGAAGGAGACTCGGGGGAAGGATGTATCTCAGTAAGGTGCTGGTAGGGGTCTTGACCGTACTTCCGGGATTGCTCTGATAGCCGTGGGATACCTCTCCTTCCCCAAGCAGCTCAACGTATGTTGCCCCCGTGTCGCTACATGCTAGCGGCCGTTTCCGGGGGCCCATTAATTGAGTTTGCCAGTCACCCCCTGCCTGTTTATCCGTATGTATCAATATTGGTCAGGGGCAGGGGCCATAGTATTTCCATAGTTTTCATCCACTAGTGCATAGCAACCCATACCCATAACCCTATCAATTGTTACCACATTTTACAATAGTCCTGCATCAACCGGGGATTGTCCTTGGGTGCACTTTTATAGTGCATACAGGTATAATTGCCGGCTGATGTCCCATCACACTTAGATTAACATTGTTCAACGGGCCTCTGCGAGTTGGCTTCGGCTCCTCGTATGCCTTCCAAAGGTCCGGGACCCTGTGGTCCCGTGAAAGGAAAGAAGAATATAATTTAAACAACATACCTTCTAGAAATTGTCAACTGGGCAACAAAAAAGCAACCTCATTTCCAAATAATCATTGCCACTAGGGGGGATATCATTAAGTGTGGCAAGCTCTTTAGTTAGGGTTGCCAACTTTTATTGACAAATAAAACGTATAAAACTGGTTTGGGTAGGAAAAAAATAAAGTATTAGGAAGAAAAAAAGTATATTTCAAATTTTATGTTTTTTTTGCTTTAAAAACGTATTTTTGTTTGCTTTTTTTGGACACAAAAAAAGCACACAAAAATACGTTTTTAAAGCCATGCCAGCTGAACTGATTGTAAAATTCACGCCACAGATAATACATTTTGCATTACATTTATTTTGAAGATCACTTGTTAGCCAGTTGTATTGTTTTTCCCAACCAGGTTTATATTTTTGTAAATCTTTTGTTACTTTATTTTAGCTTTTTAAGAGTCACTGGTGTGTCGCTATCAGAATTACTCATAATTTTCAGCATTTCGTTGAATAATTAAAAATTGTTTCCATTATCCGTTTTAAATATTTTGTTCAGCAATTATGCATCGTTAAGTACTCATAATGAGTATTTTGTTTTACGCACCACAGTAAAGGTTTACAATAAAGTATTTTTGCATACTTTATTTGTATGTAAAGTATAAAGTATAGTTACCAAAAATAAAGTAGGATATGTTATTATAAAGTATGGTTGGCAACCCTATCTTTAGTATATCATGGACCTTGGAAGATATTTGACTAATAGTGACCAGCTTCCAGCTGATGATAATTATAAATCATATATTTTATTAAAGGTATCAGCTTACAAGGCTTAGAACAGTATGCAGCTCGTCCAAACAGACATGTGATCCAGCCACCACAACAGGCCCCAGCTCCTCGGACACCTGCAATGTTATCAGCAGGTTCCAAGGCCAAGCCTGCTCCTCACATACCATTCCACCTGCCACCATTACCTGATCCACATGCTTACATTAGAACACCTGTAAGTATAGAAATATAGTGTTTGTGTGTATAGTTGTGGTTAAAGTGTGTTTACAATGTAATAAAATAATTAATTTTGAACTACATTTAGACTGCTATCTATATGAGAATTCACAATAGAAATAACTACATTGTGTCTCCCTTGCAATTCATAGTAGTTATGTGTATTGAGTAGTTTCCTCAGTCAAATACAAATTATTTTGACCTTAAAATATATTAAAATAATCACACTTTTCTATGTTCTTTTTAACACATTCAGTGCCCCCGACGCGTATGTGCGTGCGAGGAAACGCACATACGCGTCGGGGGCACTGAATGTGTTAAGAAATGTTTATGTCTGTTAATCTGTCATAAAAACGTTTTTAAGCTTCATCTACAATCTTACACAAAATTCAACATAAACAGTTGCATTTTACATTTCAATAAACATAAAAGCTGTTGGATAAACCATTGCCACTTAAATTAATCACTTTTTGATTACTTACAGACTCATAAACAGCCTGTAACAGAATATGAAGCCATAAGAGAGAAAGCTGCCTCACAGAAGAGGGATATTGAGAGGGCATTAACAAAGTTTCTGGCAAAGACTAGTGAAACACACAATTTATTTAACACAGAGGATAATCAGGTGTTCCCATGTAAGAATTTATCACTTTCTTCAGTTGAAAGCAATTGCAGGGATTAGGCTCCATAATGTTACTAACTTATAAAAACTATTAAACTTTTAATTTATGATCTGACAAAATAGCAATCTGAAATCATTACATCAGTTTATCTACCTGTAAGTGCTCACTGCTGACCAAATGCCTCATTTTACATGTAAAAGGTTAATTGCAAGAAAAAAATAAATAAAATATGACAGGCTCAAAAGCTTCATACTTAACAATAACCAGTTTTTTAGAATTGAATTATTTGGCATTATTTTATCATGTGGTGCCCTATCAGCCTATTATATAAAAAATATTCGCCAAACTAGCAGGCGGGTTACCTGATGGTAAGCAATCAGCGCCGCACTTAGACACCTGCATCGCTAGAGGAGTTACAAATGCGTTGCCGGCCTTTGGGTGTTAGAATTTCGTATATTATTTAGGTATTGGGGAGGGAAGTCTGGGAGTCCGGTAACCTTACTCACACGACGAAACAATGCAGTGGTGGTTTCACACTGGTTTTCTCTAGGCCGGTTTCATGTTCCCACCATTAAGTAACTCCAGTCAAGTCTGGCAAGAATAGGTTTTGCTGACGCTTGCTTACTGACACAAAAAAAATGGAACAATATATATATAGACACTTTTTAATATTTTATGTTTCTTTATTATTTTCAGTAATAGCCTGCAAGCCAACATTCCCGGCATATTTACCATGTTTGTTACCAACAGACCAAGTATTTGACTTCGATGAATTAGAATATCACTTTCAAGTTGCTAATAGAACTGAAGATATGCCAGCTGATAAAAAAGGTAAATTGTTTGGAAAAAGACTAACACGCGGTTTCCGAAAGGCCGATCAATGTTAAAATTAAAGTCATCTGATTGGTTGACTGAATTATCAACAACCAATCAGATGACTTGACAAGAGGTTTAACAGGAGATCAGTTAATTTTAGCGTTGACAAACCTTTCAGAAACCGGGCCTAAGATTCAACCAAACAGGAGTCTCTAGTTTAAGATAGAAAAAGCCTAATTCAGTAGTATTGAACCTTCTTAGCAATCATACCTCTTGCAAATGCCCATGACTAACAACCCAATCCATTTTCCTTTGACACAATATCATAAGACTGATAAATACTAAGCATCACACTTCCAACTCCAAGAGAGATAGGCAAAGGTGATGTTTTTTTTTTTCTTCTCTTCTTTATGGCAACCGAGTCTCCAATTTAGTGTTGTCGACTATACTGCCAGTGTCAAATAGTGACGGCAGATTATGGGCCCGTCGAACTTTAACTTTGTGGTAGTTTGTTGTTAGTAGCTGAAAGGACAACACATGGGTTAGTAAAACTATAAAAAAGGTGATGTTAGTAACATAATATAAACCCCACTATTAACTAGTTATTTTTATATTATTATGACAGTAAAAAGAATTATGAATCAGAGTAATTTTGAATTTGGGCATAATGTATGCACTGTTTGTCTATACTAAATAAATTAAATGCAATTAAAACTTGTTTTTACAGAGCAATCAGACAATGAAGGTGATAACATGGTTGATGGAGACAACCCAAATAGTTCACAGATGGACAACCCAGATGCAAGTATGGCATCAAGCCCAGACCGGGGCAAATCTGGAGGATAAATTATTTGAAAAAAAATTAAGTTTAAGCAAATATTAGTATTTAAATAAAATACAATTTAAGACAGTTTTGTTTTTATTCTTTATTTTAATAAGTGCCAATAGAATTTTTTGTGTTTATAAAGTACAAAAAGAACATTATGCCTTGATAAAATTATTCATATTTTAATGGATACTGATAAATACATAATTATTATATGGTTGGGTATTTTTGCCCACACCTGAACTGATTCAGATAAAATTGTATGTGCAAGTACAGTGTTGAGTAGACCTAAAGTACGTCATACGAAAAGGATGGTCGGGCACGACAAAGTGTGGCAAGGGATGGGAGAGATCTAAGTTTTTGACATCACATTTCAAAATCTTATATTTTTATCTAGAGGTCAAACTTTTAGGACAACGCGGTTTACGGATTGCTTTTTTGAAGAGTTCATACCCGCTCAGGTGACGAATGCCGCCAAACGCAGCGTACCTCGCGTAATTTTATTGTTTCTATTTAATTATTTTTTCTTTATGATAATTACATAACGTGATGTCACACTACAGGGGGAGGCTCTAAATTTTGACCAACTGTGACAGTGGCAAGGATGGGGCTCAAATAATCTTGAAATTCATGTGACATACTTTATGGATGGCTCCTTATCAATTTTATTATTATATAACCCAAAAAATTAAAAAAAAAAACTATTATAAGAAAAAAAATACTTTATTATAGGGAAATCACTTCAGTAACTCAGAGTTGATAACAGGCAACACTTTGATGCCATCTCTATTGACAACAGTCACTTGGAAGTTGGGCAGGCTGACAAAAAGTCTTCTGTGGACTTCTTTTACACACAGCTTCAGTATTTCATATGCCTCTTCCTCAGTAGCATCTGAAAACAAGTAATGGTAAACATTAACATAACTTCTTATTCACCAAATTAAAAATAGATGACCCTACAAGGTCACAAGTCACTGAGAGAACTCTGTTTCATGTGATGATCATGAAAAAGAGTATACCAGAGTTACTATTTTACTCTTTTCAATGTATCTCTATTTGTGTGATAAAAGATTTAGATAAAATACATGGATTGTAGAATATTACCCACCTTCTTTGTAATAGCGGTCCATGATACTCAAACTGAGGTATCCACCATAGCCATGGCAGGCAAAGGGAACTTTCACACTGGATGCCAAATAGTCCATGAAGTAAAGTTCTGGACCATTTTCTTTATCATATCCTCCCATCAATACATTCACAAAGTAAGGTGTCTGAAACAATAAGTATCTAATTAATTTATTTCTAGTAAATTTACTGCTTTCATATTGTTGCTCAGACTCTCATATCTCTAAGAAAATTATTAATATGCTATGTCTTATCACACCATTTATAGGGAAGACAAAGGTTTACATACACTTAGTGATTTAACTATTATTACTTTATAATAGAAGCCCCATGTAAAAGCTGATGCGCAAAATTGTCACACATGAGGTGCCAAGCCCAACAATACATAGCCTTACTGGAGCCGTCTTTCTGTGCAGCCGAACTTGCAACCTTTCGACTCATAAGGCAGTTTAACAATCTTACAAGATTCTTTAAAACTGGTACTGTTGCTATTAAAAATAACTTACGCTGCTTCTCAAGTATTCGGCGAGATTCCTACGTGTGAAATTAGCGGCAGCAGTGGGTCCAAGCTCATAACCGTTGCGCATTTTGTACAACTGGATATTCTTAGCAATATACTCGGCGAACTGAGTAGAGTCGCCTTGGTCGCCAATCACACCCATTATAAGTTTGTCCGAAATCTTATGGATCTTATCCTCATCTGGAATATGAAGAAACCATATACATATAAAGTGTTTTTATGAAACAAGAAATATTCAGATATCGAAAACCGCAAACTCACCGTCTTTCATGACCATAATACTATGGCTATTGCTCTGATCAGCGGCTATCATAACGAAATCCTTACACTGTATTCCTAACAGACATTGCAAATTAATGTTCGACATTTTGGTGCAAATATAATTAAAGCAAAACTCTCTAAAATACCGCAAGAATAACCTACGAAGATTTGCAGTGCAAGCAAACTTCAACAAACAAACTTGTCAAATCACCCCCGGGTGTCACAGATTATAATTTGTAGCTTATCCTGCCCGTTTATTAATACGGCTTTTACATCTTACAATCATTTTTGGAAACGATTGAATTTGGTCATCTAAAAAACCATTTATCTATTTTTTCCGGTTCACCTAAATTCATTGGTTTTCATTTGGCACCTTTGAATACTTAAGGGTTGTTGCATCTCATTGCGTAAATGATACCTACCTAAAAATACATATACTTAAACCAAAAACCAGCAAAAATATCGCATCACTGACAGACAGAAGTTAGAGCGAATGTCAATTGTCAAATGTCATTTCGACTTGTGGAAGTGGATTGAATGAAAACACGAGTTTCTCCTTTAATTCAATGAAAATGTACTAATTAATAACTAACAATATAATTAAAAATGTTTAAGAGAGTAGCACTAGGCATTTCGGGAGGTGTTGACAGCGCTGTAGCTGCACTTTTACTCAAACGAGCTGGTAAATATTGTGACCCAACTTGAGCTCAATTTTTAATAAAACAATATAATATTTAGCTACATACAAATTTCAGGATACCAAGTAGAAGGGGTATTCATGAGAAATTGGGATAACAACTATGAAGCTGGATTTTGCTCAGATGAAAAAGATTTTGAAGACGCAACATACGTGTGTCGTAAGCTCAATATACCCTTGCATAGAGTTTATTTTATCAAAGAATATTGGAACGATGTATTCACAGTAATACTTAAAGAATATGAGACGGGTCTAACGCCGAACCCCGATATACTGTGCAATAGATATATTAAATTTGATAGCTTTTTCCAACATTGCAGGAACAATTTAGGAATTGATGCAATCGCTACTGGTCACTATGCTAATACATCATTTGGTCCATTCTTAGAAAAGTATAATGAAAACGAAGGTATGAAGACAACACTTAGACAATTTTTTCGGTAGTTAATAAACTTTGATTAATGTTTTAATACCAATTTTATTTGTACTTCAGGAGTTAGGTTACTGCAGCCCAAAGATAAGCATAAAGATCAAACATTTTTCTTGTCACAAATAAAGCAATTTGCTCTTCGGAAATGTATGTTCCCAATAGCTGGGTTACTCAAGAAAGAAGTGAGAGAAATAGCTAAATCTGAAGGCCTGTTAAATGTAGCCAACAAAAAAGATAGCACAGGAATATGTTTCATAGGTAAAAATAAATTTCAGAATTTTATTGAAGAAGTGAGTATTTATATTTAATATTAATTAACAATAAGTTCTGACGATTAATAAAAAATTTAGAGTATAAGATAGAGTTGATGCTCTCAATATATTATTATACTGATATATATATTATAACAATTTTCTGGATTCTTGATGATGTTAAATAACAAGTTGTTGCTATTTTTACAGTACATCCAGACCAAGAAAGGACTATTCATAGATATTGACACAGGTCAAGTAGTGGGTGAACATGGAGGTTTACACAAGTGGACAGTAGGCCAAAGATGTGGTTTGCCTAGTCATAAAGGAGCTTATTTTGTATTCAAGAAAGATTTAGAAACAAATAATATTTATGTGGTATGTTAACAATTTTGTATTCAACTTTTAAGAATGTATCATGTCAGTCTTGTTAAAGCAACATACAAACATTATCAGATAAAGGTATTGCTTTCACCAACAGATGTGTAGTATAAATAATTATCATTTTGATTACAGAAAAGGAAGTTGTGGGTGGAATAATAGTTAGCTAGTAAAAATTATACTTAGGATTTTGTTATTTCCAGGCAGCGGGTACTAAGCATCCAGCTTTGTGGAATAATATATGCTTCACTGATCATCCACATTGGATTCACAGTGAACCATCAGAACTTACCAGCAACAATGTATTGGATTGTTACTTCAGATTTCAACACACCAAACCTCTCACAGCTTGTAGAGTAGTCAACAATAGAGAGGGCCTAACAATCATATTACAAAATAATCTAAGAGCCCTCACTGAAGGACAGTTCGGTGTCTTTTACAAGGATGGAGAATGCCTTGGTAGTGCAAAAATAAAAGAAATTTGTCATAATTTAGATTTCTCAGAAAACTTATGAATGATTTGTTGGTAAATAAAATTGTTAGTGCTGTTGAATTTTTTTTTTTGTACCTACTCTTCCGAGTTATGACTTTATAAGATCCATCCCACAGACGAATATCTGGGTACAGATTCATTCAAATTCATTTTTTAGCATAGTAGATAAAACTGTTTATTCTATCTCAAATAACTTATACAACATCACATGCTACAATAAAACTCGACTGGTAGAAAATGCCTAAGGAATTAAGTCTGCCTATGTACCCATTGTGCATGAATACTTGAGTCATTAAAATAAATTGTAAGCTTTCTAGGCCGCCAGGTTGTTTTTTAGCATACGGATCACCTGATGGTAAGTGATCGGCGCCGCCCATGGACACCAGCAGCTTAAGATGGAGTAGGCTCGTTCCTAAAATATTTGAAAGTCGTGTCGGTTCGGGAATACCGCCGCCGGGCTGGAGATCATTCTAAAGTTTTGCTGTGCGGGACAGAAAGTTTCGCGTAAATCGCACAGTTGTTGACTGCCAACCATCTATGTGATGGGGATGGCTTTCGCGTAGAACGATGGCGAAAAGGATCAATCCGAACACTCACCGTGATAATTATGCGATAGAGAACACATAGCGAGGCTACATTCCAAACCGGTTCCAGATTACAGGGCAGTCAACGATTCGGACAGCTCGGCGTTCGACGCTGAATGCAGTGCCTCCGCCCGATGAGCATAGTATTATATATGTAACCGAACTTGCGCCTTGGTAAGTAGCAAGCGATACCCCGGTGTGAATACTACCTCGATCTATTAAGCACACCTAGCTTCTTCGAGGCTAACTTAGCCTTACCCTCTAGATGGCCGCGGAACTGGATTTTGTTCGATTTGTGCGGTGATAACTTTAAAACGCGTGTCGAAAAATGATAATTATAGTCCTTAATCTTTTGAAAACAATATGCACCTAGCAGTTTCTACAATCAATGTCGGTACCTACCTACGGTAGTAGAATACCCGAGTAATCAGTACGATGTCTAAATGTAATGACCTAATTTTACGCTATGTATTTTGCTCCAGAAACAAAAGAATTTGATGTTCTTTACAACAGAGCCAACATCCTAAGGGTGCGTCCACATCTGGCGAATGTGCATTGTGCCGCGAATGCGCAGCTCGCGAGCCGTTTGCGAGCTGCGCGCGTGAATTTTTGTTCATGAGCCGCTCCTGCGCCGCCTTTCGCCAGATGTGGACGCACCCTAAAACAGTGGACAGTGATCAATTTATTTATCGTTGTACCTCCGAAACTCGACGATGGAGGGCGGCATTTCTCCAGTTAGTTACCTATAATTACCTATTGTACATAATATGAAGGTAGAAAGCAATAATTACGACGTGCGGGGTAAGCTCCCCCTTCATTACCTTATTCTTGGGGGGTAAGCAATGTGTCACCGCGGCCTCAGCCCAGAGCAGGAGAAGGAACGGAGAGGTATTTTATTCAGTTAGTCTGAAACTCCTTCCCGCCCGACCCTGAGAGGAAAACATATAGGTATGTGGTTGACTGTGAATATTATACTTAAAGGTATTTTACTCATGTCTACAAAAATTTTACCAAATGAAGACACTCGTAATACCTACAAAACAAGTAAATAGTCGTCGAAAGAAATATGTTTCACTTCTCTCAATGCGGTTGAAACGAAAAAAAAGACGAATTTTAAGATTTGTTTTAACCATAGACAAATCCGATAGTCTTTGGACCGATAAATCTCGGTACCTATCAACGTCAAAATCATTTGACAAACGTGTCAAAAACATTATTTTGATTGGTCTGCCTTGTGTTGGTATTGATTATTCAGCCTAGCGCAACTTAGAAGAAAAATAAAAATGTATGGGCTTGGCACGGCAAATAATGGCACACGGAAGTAGCCGGATATTGCCATCCCACTCCCTCAGAACAGTTCTCTTTCTTTCACTAATCCGTCGGCCATTTTGTTTGAAGTTTTGAACTTTGAATGTCGTTGCTTTTGTAAGTTTATGTTGTTATTTTCATAATTTCATAAATTTACGTATAATTTGTTTAGTTAATTAGTGGTTAGTGATACGGCTGTGACTAGTTACGTGTTCAAGTAAAATGCCACCAAAAAAACGGTTTCTAACTTGTGAAATCTGCGGAGCACGATCCGGTCGTAAAAATGGCGAGAAAAGGATGTTTATGGCGAAATTTCCTTTGGATGAGGACCGGTAAGCATTAAATGATATAATTTTATTTAATTCTAAGTATAAAAGGCTACTAATACATGTAATTTGATTTTCATGTACTTATTGTGTACTAGTGATGTACCTCAAGTATCGATAGTCACAGACTTATGTGTGGGCTAAACTCCAAAGATCCCTTGATTTATTTATTCTTTAGTGATTTACTTTCCAGACCACACCAAAGAAGTAATGATGTTATTAGATGTTGTTGAACAAAGTAGTGACACGACAAACCCAGTAGATTTTAAGAAATTAATGATTAAACGTAGATAAAAATTTATGTATACTGTATTCGTAAAATTTATGCATTTATTATATAAGGAACGCCAGCTGTTTACACAATTTAGAGTTATTCATGTCAGGGACTGTCCATTTTGAATTTTTCCATTTTTCAGGTCCGGCAGTGGGTGAAAGTTGTTGGCAAAGAAGATTTAGTGTATGTGCCCATAGAACCAATTTACTGAACCAATATATGTATTAAGTATTAGAGTCCACTTAATTTAAATAATTTTAGTTAGGTCCTTAACACACCGTCCGAATATAACATGAATTTGAATATTATTACAAAAATATATTTTTTAGTTTTTAATATAACACAATGTTTTATTTCAAATCCGAACTTTATCTTAGAGATCGAAACTAAAAATTAAAAAAGTAATATGACCTCGATTTCTACCCTATAAATATTATCGATATCGATACTAAACCTAGTATACAGCTACCACAGAACTATTTGGTCTTTTAGGTTGGTACTATTGATTTTGACGGCAGACATCTTTTATTTATTGCAATGTAGGTATTAGAGTGCCGTGTAAGTTGATTCCACTGGCTTGTATGGGAGTCCCGTCTCTTAAACGTAGTGGTTACATACTCTTTGTTGATTATTGATCTGTTTTGACTATACTAATAATTGGCTATTTATGAATATGGAAATCGGTTTCCATGACGAGAATATCACAATGGAGAGACGTGTGTAATACATTGGCCGAAAAAAATTATGTGATGTGTATATTTCACTAACAATATATCAACACCAAACATGTCGATACCTTCTATAAACTATAGTGTACCTCCACCACGGTTGGATATGCCACCACCAGTGGCTCCAGTTCCAATGGCGACGTCGATGCCACCGCCGCCGATCTATGGACCTCCGCCAACGTTCATGCCGCCGCCGATTCCATACGCGGATAAACTAAATCAGCCGACGCCACCTCCTACACCTGCTTACGGTCCAGTGACAACTTATACTCCAATTAATGTGCCGCCACCAACTTCGGTTTACCCCATGATGCCCATAGACATGCACTCACCACCACCACCATACTATACCCCACCACATGACTATACTGGATACAACTACAATCAAACTAGACCAGCATCATCATCCTCCAAAGACTGGCCAGACTGTTACTCTACTACCATGTCATCTGGGAAACCTAAACCAACAGGATTACCATATTCTGAGAAGGATGTCAGATGCCACAGGGATTCTCATGATAGACTTATTCGCAGTTCCTCATCAAAAAGGCGTTCTCCCGGCTTTGATAGACACTATGAACGCGAACGTGAAATGCGACACCGTAGCGAACGCAGATACAGTCGTAGTCCTAGTCGTCATAGTCACAGTAGCTCAAGCAGTCAACGTAGTCATGTTTGTCGCAGTCCATCTTACTCTAGTCACAGAGAACGAGAAAAGTATTACAGACAAAGGTTTGATGAAAGGCGAGAGTATGAGAGAAAAAGATGTGAATATGAAAGGCGGCACAGTCCATCTCGCAGTAGAGATTACAGGAGTCATAGTAGAGCTCATGATCCAAGAAAACTTAGATCGCCAAGTAAGCAAAGCTTTAGATCTCCTAGTCGAGAATCTCGAATGCGTAGCCATACCCGTGAAATGTCTCACGTATCAAGACGAAGTATCCGTCAAGAACCAAAACCATTATCAGATCGTGAGAAAATTTTGGAAGAATACAGGTAAGACCTTCTTTAATGTTTCCTACTACACAAGTAATAAACGACAGACTTATCTTAAAAAGTTTTTTTACTTGTAGGAAGAATTACTGCAAGACTTCTGAGGATTTCATAGAGAAAATGGAGCAATGGTCTAAAGAACACAATTCAGATGAAGAGGAGGTAAATATTGATAACAAGCTAATAAATTACAACTCACAAGTGCTATTTTATAATATTCCTCATTATCAAGTCTATGTGTGGGAGAGCCATGCTTCGGCACGAATGGTTCGGCTCGACCGGAGTGATACCACGGCCTCACAGAAAACTGGCGTGAAACAACCACAGCGTTGTGTTTCGCCGTGTGAGTGAGGTTACCGGAGGCCCAATCCTTCCCTTCCCCCAATCCCTAAATCTCCAAATCCCTAATCCCTAAAAGGTCGGCAACGCACTCGTAACTCCCCCGTTGCGGGTTTCCATGAGCGGCGCTAATTGCTTACCATCAGGTAATCCGTCAGCTAGTTTGCCGACCCATTACAAAAAAAGAACAAGCAACTTGCAAATTTTTTAAATTATTTATACAGTACCTTTCAATTGACAAACTTTAGGGTAGTAAAAAATATCTAAGGAAATAATTCAAAAATGTATTTAGTTGTACACCTGTAGCATATGATGTGGATTGGATGTCATAGATTATTACAATAGACAGGGTAGTTTCCAACATATCAATTTTTTTTTGAGACAATACTAATCGAATAGGTACTTTGCTTTCTAAGAATTTTGTAAGAAATGACAGCAATGCTCTGACATCAAATAGCTAAATATTGCTGAAAAATTAGTGAAAAAAGCACCTATTTCAGAGTATCATATAATTTTTGTAATTAATTGTGCCAGGAAATAAAAATAATTTATTTTTGACCTAGGAAACTACCCAAGTGGTGTTGGATTTCAAATCGGTTTAGACAACTTTACAATGTACCTTAAAATTTTTGCATTTGCCAAAAATAGGATGCAATAAAATCGTGACTTACATTTGTATAATGAACTAGCTATTCTCACGCGGTTTCACCCGCGGCTCAGCTCCATTTGATCGTAGCGTGATGTTTTATAGCCAATAGCACTCAGGAACATTGTAGCTATCTATCAGTGAAAGAATTTTGGCAATCCGACCAGAGATTCCAAAGTTTACCCCCTTTTTTATGTAATAGGTCGGCAAACGAACACGGATTACCTGATGGTAAGTAATCAGTGCCGCCCATGGAAACCCGCAACGGAGGAGTTACGAGTGCGTTGGCGACCTTTTATGGATTAGGGATTTGAAGATTTAGGGATTGGGGGAGGGGAAGGGTTGGGCCTACAGTAACCTCACTCACACGGCGAAACACAACGATGTGGTTGTTTCACGCCGGTTTTCTATGAGGCTGTGGTATCACTCCGGTCGAGTCTACCTATTCGTGCCGAAGCATGGCTCTCCCACACTTAACAAACTTACAAACATACAAACTTATCCTATTTTTTTTAGTATTAACATATTTGTTAATAATAATATTTGGTTTCCCTTTCTTATATTTCCTATTTATCAACTATTGCAGGTATCAAAGATGTGGTTTAGAAGTTCTCCTGCAGAGTTATACTATAAGCCAGTGGAGGAAGGTTCTGGAGTCAAACAAAGTCTTAAATTGGAGAAGATATGTGAAACATTCTTCAAGCAGCTGATTGAAAGGGGACGAAAAGCTAGACCTGAGGTTGATGAACTGCCCCCTTTGAGACCTTCTAAAGTTGCTATGTGCAAACATAAATGTGAGTTTCTTTTTTTCATCATATTTTTCTTTTCCTTTATTTGTCCCTATATCTCTATGTATGCTTACATCTTTAAAACTACGCAACTGATTTTGATGCGGTTTTTTTTTCTAAATAGATACCTACAGTGATTGAGGATGAATGTTCATATGTTTAATAGCATAAATGTCATAGTATCAACACTGCACTCGTGCGCCGCCCCGGCTTCGCACGCCGCTAATATTGATGAAGAAGTGTTTTGATTTGAATTCAATGTCCTCACATAAATATGTGCATTGGAACAGAGTTGATTTTAGTCAGTTTCTGGTCTTACATTTAGGAGAATTAAAGACATGTGTCTTTAAGGTTTTCTTTGTAGACCAAACCATGATAAAAATGGTACCATTTTCGACTGCACAATTGGCGCGACAGCTGGCCGGTAACTGGCTGCCATTCAATGTGTCGCGGGTTCTATTCCCGCACGGAACAATGCTTTGTGTGATACACAAATTGTTGTTCTGGGTCTAGGTGCGATGTGTATGTGAAATTGTATGTTTCCAAACACAACCACAATACGGAGATAGTGGTAGTGTGGGAGAGTATTTTTTCGAGAGTTTTAAATAAGCACTGCTATCTAATAACTTTCAGCTCAAGAAGGAAGTTCATCATCGGAGAGTGAAGATGAATGTTTAGATGAAGACGGTCTCCAAGGTTACACAGACAGAATCATGCTGGAACTGCAGAGAAAGCAAAGTCACCCTAGAAGACTACATCCAGAAATGTGGTGAGTAGAGATTTTTTTTTTCAATTTAGTACTTAAATGTGAATATATGGGTCGGTAATAAGCTGTATGATAGGTTATGTCAGGCAACAGATAAAAAGGAGCTGATGATGAAAAAAAACTTGTTAGCTATAAAACAACATACATATATTATTTCTTTTATGAAATAGGTCGTCAACCGAGCAGACGGATTACCTAATGATAAGCAATCGGCGCCGCTTATGGCTACCCTCAACTTTAAAAGAGTTATGAGTGTTTTGCCGGCTTTTTGGGAATTAGGGTTTTAGATTTTAAGGATTGGGGAGGGAGGGGGAGAGAATGAATTGGGTCTCCGGTAACCTCGCACACACGGTAAATACAACGCTGTGGTTGTTTCACATCGGTTTTCTATGAGCCGTGATATCTGATATCTACTCAGGTCGATGGGACCCATTCGTTCTAAGCATGGACCTCAAAATTTAATGTTCGCTATTTTGTAACATACGTTAGGGTGCTGTATACAGCAATTGCTTTATGCCTTATAATTATGAATACCTCAAAGCCCGATCATGGTTGGTGGCTCGGGGATTTAGCCGCCCGCATCTTTTGCATCGTAGTTCGAAACCACCAGTGTAACTTTTTCCTAGTTATAGGTATGTACTTTCTAAGATTACGTTACTACTGACATCCGGTTGAGGTACACACCGCGAGCAAGACCGCCTTGCGCAAGCGTGGTGATCATTGCTCAAACCTTCTTCAAGTGAGAAGGGACCATTGCTCATGCTCATTCATAAGCTGAAGATGTATTATTCAAAGCTAAACGTGGATCTCTCGCAATCCTGGCTTTCGTAAACTCATATTTTCATATACTTAATAACTTTACATAAATAACGACGCGTGTACATAATATACTTTTAAACTTATTTGTTTCTACAGGTTCAATAATACTGGTGAAATGAATGGTGGTCCGCTGTGTCGCTGCAGCGCTCGTGCCCGACGTTACGGCATGAGACATGGCGTCTACGCAAGCGAAGAAGCTTTCCCCAAATGTGTACCTACACAGAGCAACATTGACAAACTGTATCATTACAGGTTAGTAGTAAATGCGCAAGTTAAGATAACCTTTTCTAAGATTATTTATACACTTCCCTAAAATCTTTTAAGTATTATTATTAGAATATTTTATTAATAAAGATTTAGGACAGATAAAATATTTGAAATCGACAATTCGCAATCCAATCCAGTGATTAATGGCTAAACCTTATCTGTGTGAGAAAATACCTTTGGGGTGGGCACTTATAGGCTGATGATGATGATGATGAGTGCATATTTAAATAGAGTTGGTAAGTTATAGATATTTAGTATTTCAGTTAAAAATAATCATAGCCACATCAATTACTGATAGTAATAAAGTCAAGTCGAAATACATTTTTCAAAGATACAGCTTAGCATATTCAGATTTCAGATGTGCTATGTAAATAAAATTGTATTTCGACCTCTTTTATTTATCTTATGAGTAACACTGCCAAATAACTATTCGATGTTGCCTCTTTCTGTTTGTTTTATTGTTTACCAAGTAAACTAAATAATGTATCAAAGAATCTTTATGAGACATTGATTTAAAAAGAGTAACCATAGAGTTTCTTGCTTATTCTTCTCAATCTGAATCTACACTTTGGAACGAACAAATAGCTTCACTAAGAGGACTGACCGACAGACTGACACTTTATTAAAATTTTGTTTGACGTTCAAAAGTGCCTGTATGGGTCTAATTGAAATAAATGATATTGACTTTTGACTTTTTGTTTCCATCTTTTCAGAATAACAGTATCACCACCGACAAACTTCCTGATAAAATCTCCAACCATAATCGCTCATGACGAGCACGAGTTCCTATTCTCTGGTTTTTCAATGTTCTCTCACTATAAACTGGCGAAGTTACCTACCTGCAAAGTAATAAGGTTCAATATCGAGTACACAATTTTGTATGTGGAAGAGCCACCGCCACAGAACTTCACTGTCAAAGAATTGGATCTGTTTGGTAAGATTACATAGATATTTAATCTGTTTAAAAAAAAGATTCATCTTTTTGTACTTTTAAGAAACTATAGTATCTGCTGCTTCGTCGATGGAACGCGCGTTTCCAAACATACAATTTTACATGTATGTACACATGTAAAAAATGAGTATGATGTAACAAAATTTTGTAAATCAGACAAGTAATTGTTCCATGCCAGAATTTATTCCCAACATACAACAGAACGTACGTTCCTTAACAGCTAGTAGCCTAGCCATTGCGCAAACCGTGCAGTCATATAAAAAAAAAACGTTAATTTTTCAGAGGAATTTCTATTCTATGAGCTGTTGGAATTAGTTGATTTGGATTTGGGTAAAGGCACTGATACGACTTGCTCGCAGTTCCATTTCATGCCAAGATTCGTACGATATCTACCTGAAGGTGGATGTGAGGTAATTTTTTAAGAATTTTTGTATTTTTTTTGCGATATGACATATTCTTTCATTTTATCTAAGTTCTGAATTTGATATAAATGAAATACTCCTAATTTTGTCATAATTTCCTTCTACTTTCTATGGTTAACTAAGTTGAAGTCATATAATTACGAAAAAAATATTCACGGTCGTGGTCGCATGTCACGACCTGTGCAACCAGGTCAAAACGTCAAGCCTACCAAGGTATTAGAATAATTATTTTCCGCGTTAAAACCCGTGTAATTATATGCTGTAAATATGAACCGCGAAAGTTTAAAAATTAGTAAGTTGAGGTAAAGTTGTTTAAATTGGTTAATTGCTTCATTATGAGTAAAAAAGATAAACTGAAACATTGCCAAAAATAAACCTCCACATATTATATACATAATTACATACGTTATTGTATTACTAATGATGAAAATTAAGATTTTTAATTTAATTTACTGAACTATGTTATAGACCAAATCCTATTAATGAAGTGTAGGCAAAATGTAGATAAATTAGTAAATTTAAAAATAGTAATGTTTGCATATGAATAAATTATTTGGAATGAAATTCCAGGTTCTATCAATGTGTGAAGTTTTGAAGTATTTGATTGACGAAAGTGGTTTACTTATCGCACCCGATACATTGGAGGATGTACATAGAATGGACCACTATACTTGGCAGAAGTTTGTTGATAGGATTAAGGGTAAGTTAATTAATATTAAAACGTTATTTTTATATGATTATTATTTTTAATAGAGGAGCTTTAGTTACAGCAGTTTGGTCAAAGATAGATTATTATTTTCATTTATATTCGAGTCTTAATTAAATATACATAGTTGTTTATTGTGTACTAGTTACTCTCACGCGGTTTGACCCGCTGCTCGGCTCCATTTAATCGCAGCGTGATGTTTTATAGCCTATAGCACACAGGAACATTGTATATAGCTATCTATCAGTAAAAGAATTTTGGCAATCTGACCAGCGTTTCCAAAGTTTATCCCCTACATACAAACTTAAAAACTTGACCTCTTTATAATATAAGTATACTTAGATTATTGTGTATTACCTTTTGATGGTTAGAAATGTAACCTGGTGGCTTATTTCGACGACATTTTCTTTGTTTTGCATCATCGTGTATCGAAATGTATAAATAAAGACTGTATTGAACTTTGCAAGTTTTAATTTTGTATAATTCCAGGTATGATTGTGACGTACCCGGGCAAGAAGCCGTGTTCAGTCCGTGTGGATCAAATAGACCGGAGTCCACCAACATCTTCCGATGAGCCGGGCTCGTCAGATAAGCCTTACTATCCAGAGATAGTGCATTTCGGTATAAGACCACCACAACTCAGTTATGCTGGGAATCCTGAGTAAGAAAATTAAATTATATTTTTTATGCTGCATCCTATTCCCGCTAAATGAATAATATTGTGAAGTTAATGAATGTTGCAATTAAATATTTAATTGTGTATTGAAGTTTATATAATTTATTTAAGGAAAGGCCCAACTGTTTATAAGTTGATCTTTGCTGCAGTTTTTAAACGTGTTTGGTTTATCCCTGTCTAGCATTTCAATCCCAACTAAAAACATAATAGAATAATTGAATAGTGAATTAAATAAATAAACATATTAAATTATACATAATCACTTTTGATATCAAAATAAAGATGTAAATTGGGTGCATTAACTTCTTTAAATTTGACAATACAAAAAATTACAACAAAGTCGCACGCACGTCATTTCTTTTTGTAAAGCTATTCTTTCTTTTGAAAGTGTATCCTATTGAGAATAACGAGCAAGCAACTTCATGGTTCCTCTACTAATCTAATTTTACAATTGCTTTGTTGCAAATATCTAAAATACTTCAAAATAATTGCAGATATCAGAAAGCGTGGCGTTACTACGTAAAGTACAGGCATTTGATTGCCAACATGGCCAAACCCTCGTTCAAGGAGCGACAAAAGTTGGCCGCAAAGGAGGCCAAACTGCAAGAGATGAGGACCCAGAGTAAGATGAAACGCGACGTCACTGTTGCCATATCGTCTGAAGGGTTCCACACTACTGGTCTTATGTGTGACGTTGTTCAGGTGAGTTGTTAGATACTTATAGTCTGGTAAAAAGTTCAATCCATTATATTTCACACCTTTTGTATGTTACTAGCTGATCACCCGCGGTTCCACCCGCTGCCGCTGATCAGCTCTTATTGGTTGTAGCGAGATTTTTAGCCTATAGCCTTCCTGAATAAAAGCTTAATCTTTGCTCTCTTAAAACCATTAAACAATACCTCATTTTCCCTAATTACTAACTTAACAAATGTGATCTGATATCAAATTGTAACCAGCGAGCGCTATAAGCGTTTATAGTAATAAAATTCTATTTACCTGTGATCATCATATCAAAGGCCTTTCCCGATGGTTTTCAGAACGGCCGATATGGGGTGACCTGTTTGTAGCATTTACTTTACTTAACACGTTAACCGCCTCGTAGGTCACAGGTGACCTACAGTAATTGCCTTCAATAGGTTGCCTTTAATAATTTTCGGTCGCCGGTCAAAGGATCATTATATTTCTATTTTCAGCACGCAATGTTGATTCCGGTGCTAGTAAGACATTTACGCTTCCACAAATCGTTGGATAGCCTCGAGAATAAAATTGGATATGTGTTCAAGCAACGGGCATTGTTGCAAACTGCTCTCACTCATCCGTCGTACAGGGAGAACTTTGGTACCAACCCTGACCATGCGAGAAACAGTTTGACTAATTGTGGTATACGTCAACCCGAATATGGAGATAGACGGATACATTATACTAGGAAGAAAGGTTGGTTGAATTATTATTATTATTCTTATCTTCCATTTCACCAGACTACAAGGTCCAAGGCCAATAGACCAATAGACTGAGCCCTACAGGGCCGATGTGTAGTCTGGATAGCGGGGCAAGCGCAATAAGGTATCTCCGCCTCGGCCTAGAGCAGGAGAAGGAACTGGGTGTTTTTAATCAATATGACTCTGACAATCCCTCTCGCCATACAATGAGCGAGAGAACTTTTTTGAATAATTTAAATGGTCTCGGACCTTTAGAAGGCGTACGAGGTCCCAAAAACAACTTAGATAGGTCCTTTGAACAAGTTGGTATTGGTGGAACATTTCACAAAGATCGGGCGTAAAAAAAGACTTTAAGAAATAACAAAATCGACTTAGCATGATTCTGTGAAACAATGATATCTCACAATAAATTAATATCAATCAAACAATTTTCGACTTTATGCGTTACATTATATAGTCTAAAATATGTCCTTGTATCCTTTCCGCCAGGTATTGTGACCCTTATAAACATAATGTCAAGGTTTGGCAAGCACAGTGAGACGGAATCGGACATAAAACACAACGAGCGTCTAGAGTTCCTCGGCGACGCTGTGGTGGAGTTCCTATCCTCCATACATCTGTTCCGCATGTTCCCCGGCCTAGCTGAGGGTGGACTTGCTACCTACAGAGCTTCTATTGTACAGAACCAGCATTTAGCTCAACTGGCTAAGGTATAATTTTGTTTAATTTTATGATAATTAAGTAGTAGTACCTAAACCTTCCTAAAACCAAAATTACGGTGTTGGAAAACTATTTTGACTGATTTATTTTGAAACACTCTTGGGTATACGCCAAATTTCAACTTTATTTTAGATAAATAACTTTTGCTTGTCGAACTTTTTTTTATAAATATAATCCTGTTGCGTATGAGTGTCCCATTTTTGTCTGTATTTTTTGTACAAATCAACAAAATTTTTCTATCCTTTTATTCTTGTCTCTCATTCGTCTCGCTAAAATTCAAAAATGACTGGACCAATTTCATCGTAACGAAAGTTTAAAAAGTCATAAATCTTATATATAAAAATGGATCGCAAAATGTGTTGGTAAGCGCATAACTCAACAACGCCTGGACCAATTTTACTAATTCTTTTTTTTGTTGTGTTTGTTATTGTCAGGAGAAGGTTCTTATTAAAGAAAATATTAGAAAAGTAGAGGGGAAGATTAGGAAAAAGTGACTCTTTGATAGCGAGATAGTTGTACCCGTGCGAAGCGGGGGCGGGCCGCTAGTTATGAATAAAATGCTAGAACTGTCCTATACTTGACATTAGATATATTACAATAAACAAAAATAATATCAATTAAAATTTGAGATGTAAGTCAATTTTAAGGCGATACGTAGTTTTCCTGGTCTGGTATTAAGAAATACAATTTGTGTACCAGAACATAGAGTTGGAGCAGTACATGCTGTACGCCCACGGGTCGGACCTCTGCCGCGAGGTGGTCATGCGCCACGCTATGGCCAACTGCTTCGAAGCTCTCATGGGGGCACTCTTCTTGGATGCCGGAATTGATGTAAGTACACGATTTCAATATTTATTATTATTATGTATGTCTTTACCAATCACCGGATCACAGGGTCCCGGTGATTTGGGCGGCGTACGAGGGGCCGGAGCCAACTTTATTCTTATTATTATTATTTGCTTGCCTTGCCAGCATTGATAAAATGTGTCCATTTTTTATTCCAAACTATAATATATATCTATACCAATCACACATCTCTCTTTTACGTAAGAGCAACAAACGCCTTTCCATCCAGATTTACTCATTTTCGATAAATGTGGAAATTTTGTTAAATTCATTTATTGCTAAGTTATGTACTTATGTATTTATTTTTTATGTTTCTGGGTTGTTTTAAGGTTTGAAACTTAACTCACCGTTTTAATGGGAAGCTAGGTTTTTTACTGCTGTATGGAGCTTGAAAGTCTTTTATAAACCTATCAATCAATATTTTTAAGGCTTTGAGAAACCTTAAAGTTATTACCATTTTTTTAATATATTTTGTTGTTGTTTAAGACCTTTCATGAATGCGGAATGATAATAATTATCTGTACAGGTAGCCGATCGTGTATTCGCTCTAGCCCTCTGGCACAACCAGCCCGACCTCCTCGACGTGTGGACCAAAGAGAGGGCACATCCACTGCAGGAACAAGAACCGCTTGGCGACCGCAAATATATCAAGGACTTTGAGTTCCTACAGCGACTCGTTAATTTCGAGAATTCTATCGGTAAGTTTATGTATAAGATATCAAAGTTTTAGTGTATACACTTGTTCTTTTAGAGTTGTCTGAGTAATCTGTCATTGGCTACTAAAATATATTTTAAGACAATCGGAATATTATTATCTTGTTGTTCACCACCACAACCATAGGTTGTTCTCACAAAACATATTATTCGAATAAAAGTATTGTTCCCAATGAAAATTGAATTATACACTAAAACTGAAGTTGAGTTTTTGAACGCATGAAAGAACAAACGATAACTCCAGACGTGTCAATATAACATATTTTACTCAAGATTTTCATTGACCAGTCCTACCTATAATGTGTTTTTTAAAGTTTCCATCCAAAGGAATAATAATACTTATTAGTTTGTGTATATGTAGATAAGTATTCAATCCGAACGATGGTGAACAGCGAAGTACAATTTTAAGTATTATGTAAAATAAGAGCCCAGACTGGATTAAGGACGAAAACACGTAGTTCAAGGAGCAATTAGCTGTGGGTAAAAAAATTTAACATGCAAACCTTTTTTCACAGGTGTCCAGTTCAAGCATATCCGTCTTCTTGCCCGTGCGTTTACAGACCGGTCTGTAGGATTTACGCACTTAACTCTGGGGTCTAACCAACGATTGGAGTTCCTAGGCGACACCGTGCTGCAACTAGTCGTGTCCGATAGACTCTATCGACACTTCCCTGACCATCATGAAGGACATCTCTCTGTGAGTTATATTTATGTACAATTTTGGACCTTGTGTGTATAGGGATAAATGTGGATTTGTATTTTGTTGAGTGTTTGCGTGGAGTTGATGATTTGATATAGTCTAAGCGCATACTGCTGAGCAAAGGCCTCTTCTTACACAGAGAAGTTTTGAGCATTAGTCACTAGGCTTGCGCGAGGCGAGGTGGCGATTTCAAACTTATAATTATTATTATAAATTATAGATCCGGGCTACCTCACAATGTTTTCCTTTCATCGTATATCAGTGGTGTCTAAATCACCTTAGAAAGTGCTCGCATCGCGAACTTTATCTTTATACCTTTTTTGAGGGTGTTTTTCGATTTCAGACTCTTAATGACTAATAACCAGACATTTACTTCTCATGCTTCAGGCCGAGGCCCCGGTACCTTAGTCCCAGTGCATTTTTTTATCTTTTTAGATGTGTCTCTTTGTTAGATAGTTATCAGCTGATGATGACGTTTTAGTAAGAACTATGTGAAAATCTAATGTAGGTACGCATTACCCTTCCAGTTGCTCCGTTCATCTCTAGTGAACAACCGCACCCAGTCGATGGTGTGCGACGACCTGGACATGTCCTCGTACGCCATATACAACAACCCCAAAGCTAAACCCACCACCAAGAAACACAAGGCTGATTTGCTCGAAGCTTTTCTCGGAGCTCTGTATATTGATAAGGTATGTTTAGGTTACTGAATACATAGATTGCAGAATAATCTTAATAGCTATTCTAAAAGTAATACGAATTGAGTTCAATATGTTTTTGAAATTATAAAATTTTTACATATACAGTTTCCTAAGAATTTTGTAGAGGATCGTGTTAGGATTTAAAAGTCAATATATATTTTTTTCTACTAACGCCGAAATCCGTTTTTTGTTCCTTGAGAGGTCAAGTAAAATCCTCTAAAGCGATGTGCTAACATTTTATAGGCGATATAACGAATCTGGATTTGTATTATATTATATATTTTTTTAAAGGAAGTATACTACTGCTTCTCAAGTTACTTTGCCAATCCGGTAGTTTCTAATGTCAAAAACGTCACAATCCTATGAATTTTGTATGAAATCGCAACATCGTGACGTTATAATGTTTTTAAGTCGAATATTTTATTAATTTTAGAAATAATGCTAATAAGAAAGTGTAAATTAAGTGTATTAGTGTGTAGTGTCAAGTCAAAGAACAAAAGTGTGATTATATTTTAACAATGTATTGTATTGAATAGTCAGAATAATGTATTTTTGACCAAGGAAACCAATTATTGTTTCGACGATAGAACTTAGGAAACTTACAGAAATGCGGTATACACTATCTAACAAATATTAAATTCCTTATATTTCAGAATCTAGAATATTGCCAAGCGTTCTGCAACGCATGCTTGTTCCCGCGTCTCCAAGAGTTCATCATGAACCAGGATTGGAACGACCCTAAGTCCAAACTCCAGCAGTGTTGTCTCACACTGCGGTCCATGGAAGGTGGCGAGCCTGACATACCTGTGTACAAGTAAGGGCTAAAAGATTTATTTTGTTAAAATGTTTAATTGATACATAAGTTACCGTTCGTATCGTAGGGAACTATAGATTAATTTGTGTCCTGAAGAACCTCGCTCAATTCCTCTCCCATCACGAAATTCCCCAGCTTTAAAAACCCTTACCCCAAAAAGCTTTTTTTGTGAGGGGAAAATCATCAAATGACTTCTCCCGCCCAGGGTCAGGTGGGAAGGATTGTCAGACTCTTACTGACTAAAACACTCAGTTCCTTCTCCTGATTTGGGTCTAGGCCGCAAAAGGCTAGTAACACTCGGGAGTCCAAGAATTGCTTATCTGTTCCATAAATAAAAAAACATCTGTAATGCACATGAGACGTAAATCAGTTGATTTTTTCAGCTATTAATGCCTATAAATATGGAAATAATACATTTTCAAATTACACAGACTATTCTAGTAAGTTCTATACCCCCAAAACTTATGTTACAGGGTGATCGAGTGCTTAGGTCCGACCAATACCCGCGTGTATACAGTGGGTGTGTACTTCAGAGGACAGAGGCTCGCCGCGGCAAGGGGGCACTCCATACAGGAGGCGGAGATGAACGCCGCTGAGAAGGCACTGAGCTGTGCCCATGGTATGTATATCCTTAAAGACCGAAATTATTTACCAAGCCTTCTTCCTATCTTTGCTGTGCCCGGCAGGGTCCATAGTGATTCTGCTATATTTTGATTTATAAGACATAATTAACACTATGGAACGCAATAAACTATTGAATAACGAATAAATACGAGCTATCTAAATCCATATTTCACGTCCTAATCCATTTTAAAACGATTTGACAGTTTCACATGGACTGTACTAGCCGCTGCTTGTTAGCTGGTTGGTTAATTGTTATTCTAGTGTACGTGAATTTGTTTGTTGAGGCACTCACGACATGTAGACATATACACAAATAAAATACGGAGCGTAAACGCAGTGAAAATTTAACTCAATTTGCATGTGACTAAAAGCTATATTTTCTTCTGCAGAGTTATTCCCGCAACTGGATCACCAGAAACGAGTGATTGCGAAGAGTTTGCGCAAGAAGAAGAAGCGCGCTAACGGCAACAATAGCCCTCAAGACGGGACAGCGGCTAACAACCCGAAACTGGACGATAAAGTGCCAAAGGCTTATAGGCTCGACACTCAATACGAGAGTTCAGAAGAAAGCAACCCAGCTATGTCAGAGGAAGAAGTGTTACCAGCCGAAAAGTCCAATGAAGATTCTGGCTTAGACAGTGACACGTCATTACCTCAGGACAAACTCGATCAAGTTCAAGTAAGCAGTTTATTAAGCGATATGCAGAAAATAAAAGAAGATTTGATCAGACGCAACGAGTACGAGAAACTGAAGGAAAAATGTCGCCGATCGGATTCTGACGATGACTAGTGAGTTTGTTAAAGCTTTATTTGTAGTTTGTGGTTTTAATTTTTTGCCGTTTGATGAAATTTTCGACACTAAGGGCTAATTTTTCAATGTTTAGATAAAAGTTATGTGGGGAATAATTATGATGCTGTCGCGTCAGAATGTTAATATAAGACAAGGATAGCAACAATTTTATGCCTCAAATAAAATTTATCTGAGTATTGAAAAATCAACCCTAAATAAAATAGAAAATGAATTAATGTTTCTTCATCCATTTCATTTTACAATAAATTTAATAAAATGTTTTCCAATTAATTATTTGGTCCTCTTTAGTTCTCCTTCGAAAGATATTTATAACAGTATCAATTGAAGGAGAAAATATGATTTAAATAAAACTCAGGAAAATGAGTATTGAAAATGCATACCCATAAAAATAATACCAATACACGTAAATGTTTGTCGAGCAGGTAAAGCTGCTCAACTTTGATGTCTTTATGTCTTTACGTAGGATAATAGAGGGTAGTAAAATCACCATGGTTACTCCTTGTCTCGTAAATGTGTGATATTGATATATTTATGTATGTGTTGTATGATAATGCGGTTTCCGTGTCCGAAGTTGCGGTAATGTAAAAGAGCTTATGAAAGAAGGTCTGATATTCCGAATGTATGTAAAAATCCTCGACCAAATTATTATTCGAATTTAATCAAAATCAACCCATCTGTTTTGAAGCTATGTTGCTTATGGATAACACGCAAATAATCAATTTTGATAGCTATTATAAACTCTACCCTTGACGGAACAAAGATCATAATAATATTTTCTAACGATTTTTGATTGACGATTTAATATCGCACTTGTTACTTGTGTAAAAAGAATGGACTCGTGATATTAAAATGTCCTTAAATTATTTGAGAATATTATTATTAATAATTTTTAAGGTGTGTATCTATCGTTATTTTGACCTTGCAGTATAACTCAGATCCGAGTCCCTTATCAAAATTAATAGTGAGCAAGAAACAAAATGATTATTATTATTTTTTGTTTATAATTAAATATATGCTTTGTTATTAGTAGTATACAGAGTTCAGGGCGACTCATTTTTGTTAACGCAATCAAATGTGCGTTTAGCTCTCTGATTGGTCGGTTACCTCGGAGCTGGCCAATTGATTGTCTTACGTCATAAACATGCCTATCGCTTTACCATAAAGCATATTCGCAGGCATTCTGTGTTAGGTTTGAATGAAAGTCATTCTTAATATGAACTTAACTGCAGGGACTATGTCAAAAAACGCAAATCGTTTTTTAATTTCTGTGACCATTTAAGTAAGAAATGAATGTGATGGAATTTTGAGATAAAGGCATGAAATGCTATGAAAATGCAGACTGGTCACTTTTGACTGTTAAGAAATGTGTAAGTAGTTTTAAGCGACTCATGTATGTGTTTTAGATTGATAAGTTTTATTGTCTTATAGTCCGGTCAAAGTAAATGTTGCAACAGATAAAATCGCACTGACTGTGGAAGTGTTGGCTACACTAATAAGAATAAAATGCTAAAAGACCATCAATCAATATAGTATGTGGTAAAGGTGTAGATATTAGCATACTTTGAATCAATGGCGACTATTACATAGTATTTTCTACTAGCTTCCGCCCGCGGCTTTGCTCGCGTGGTATGTTAATAAAAAGCAGCCTATATGTTAATTCTGGATATCATCTATCTATCATCATCATACCAAATTACAACCATATCGATTCAGCCGTTTTTGCGTAAAAGAATAAAAACATTCATCCATTCGTTCTCAAAAACTTGACATTTTTGATATAAGTAGGATACGATGGTTTAACAAAAACAAAATTTCACATTAGTGCGTATTTTTTTCAACTTGACCGGACTATATAGGTATATAGGTAATTTGTCATATTATTATATATAAATCAAATCAATTTAATGTAAGTGGTATTTTTAAACTAAAAGTCACCGGTTCGTACCATTAGTTTTTTTCTTTTTTAATCGAAATGAATTGGATTTTTATTCGTTGATTTCATGTTGTAATGTTCAAAAAATATAGTTTGGAAGATAGCGATGTACCGCGCTCTATATGCACAAGTCTTGGTGGCCGGCCGGGGAAGGAAGAGCTTGACTTTAAGATTAATATATATTTAATTGATCCTGGCCCGCCGTACTTGTTGCGCAAAGAGGCGGTATCAGGAAAACTATAACTAATTTAGAAAGAAAATTAGTAGGTATTATTAAGATCAATATTGTTTGGTTTACTTGTGTGATAAAAAATTTTGGTTCTGTTGTGCAAGATTTTAATTTAAATAAGTGTTAGTTGGGTAATTATTTATCATTTATTAACTCGAAACAACGTATTTCCTTAGGTATTATTGGTTCGTTTTCCTTTCCTAAAGACTTAAGTTAGTCTTGAAGATGGAGCGCAAAAACATTTTAATGTATTTTTAAGAGGCTTTTAGTTTATATACATTTGAATTGGTGGACGTTCGTGGTGGCCCGGGGATTAAATTAAAGCGCCCGCTTCTCTCGCGAAACTTGGCAATGACTTACCAATGTGACTTTTTTCGAGTTTATGTAAAACATCGTGACTTATAATTCTGGACTTATAATTTCTAATAATAAGTTTGAAATCGCGATTTGCTCAGCAGTGGGCACTTATAAGCTGATGATGTAGGCGTTGAGGACGTCGCATTTTTTTTTATCGTTAGCTTAATTTTATGTTATTCACATAGTTAGGGACTACAGTGTTGTGGCTAATTTTAGTTTTTTTATGTAACGAGTTAATGAGTGATGAATCAATGCTTCTTATTCAAATGTATTTAAAATATGCCTTCTGCTTCATAGATTAAACTAATAAAATTCAGTAAATAAACTTCATAATTACCAAGAAGTTTTTTAGTCACTTTAACTATATATTATGTCGATATGAAAGACAATGAATTACTGAATGTCTGTCTATTTTATAAACTACTGAATATTCATGTTGTATGTAGAATCGTTTACTACCATTCTGATCGGTAGTTCAGACTTAAAGATGAATGTTTAACATATGAGTATTTTTTTTCGATCTTTTAGTCTCTAGTCTGTAAAACTACCGATGGGGTTATTAATTGTATTTTCATCATTTAAATTAAGAATAAAGAATAAACTGATATAAATGGCGGTATATATTTTATTTCTATCTACGTTAGTAGAGTACGACGCAGCATAGAGTAAAAGCGATTGGTCCTTTCATTTTCTTAGCTCGTAACGTCAGCCATTGCTTTTGATTCGGGACGTACATCTCGGCTGGCATCAACTGTTCCGGAGTATCATTTTCTGATGCTGTAAAGCAAAAAGGACTTTATGTTAAATTGTAAAATACTGGGTCATGACGAGTTTTGAAAGGCATGATTACTAATAACTTATTTCATATTTATATGTATTTTAATTTTTTTATGGTGTAAGTCGGCAAACAAACAGACTTATAACCTGATGGTAAGCAATTGGCGCCGCCCATGGACACCCGCTTTGCCGGCCTTTGGGGAAAGGATAGAAGGGGCGGGATTGGGCCTCCGGTAACCTCACTCATACGGCGAAACACAACGCTGTGGTTGTTTCAGGTATTCTGTGAGGCCGTGGTATCACTCCGGTCATGCCGACCCATTCGTGCCGAAGCATTGCTCTCCCACACTTAAGCACGAATATTCTCGTGAATAAGTCGCTATTTACAATAAAAGTAAATCCCCAAACAATCCTTAATGAGGCGCGTAAAACAGAAGGGGTTATAAAAAATTGATAATTTTTCTCGTTTTCGAGATAGAGTTGTTTGAAATTTAATAAATCATCCTATGACCTTAAGAGCCGGGGATGATCCAGTCCGGAAACCGAGCGTTCGTGAATTATAGAATTGTTTTTATTATATTATTGGTCCTCCATGAGCTGAAGAAAAAACTTACCCTCCTTCCGAACTTGTTGTGCTGATTGCATTGTGGAGTCTTGCATCGATATCAGATCTCCAGGGGCATGGAGCAATAACCGGCCCACACCTTCACACCTCCTGTAACAAAATGAATATGATGATGAATGAATAATAATAACAAAAGCCCACTGAAAAGGTCAAACTTTTGTTGAGGTAGGAAATTGCTCGATTCAATTTTGTACCCAAACAATTGGGACGCGTTGAGCGCTCGGGCGGGGGTTTGGTCGGCCAGCAAGCTTCCATTGCCCGCCGGAGATCGTTACGCGATCCCCGACGCGATGTGTCTCCTACTGCAGCGGCTGGGACGGGAGGAGGATAGTTCCTTGATAGTTCGTTACATCGCAGAAAAAGGAGGCCTCCCAGTCCCTCTCGCTCCGCACCATGGCCTCGACTAAGGCCGGGCGCGAGAGGTCGCCGCCGCGGATGGTCCTCAATGGACGGGTGCCGTGCCCGGGCATTTTCTCCCAATTTGTGAGATGTGGTGTCCAGCATTATGCATTAGACCCTAATATTAATTTGTGCAAGCTTATGAAGATTTACCTTAGAACTTCGTTCTGTAGCATTTGTTTTTTCGATGCAGCCGCAAGTTGTTTGCACTCGCTCAGCCAATTTCTGACTTCGTTAAAATCATGCAACAGTTGCATCGCTGCATCTTTTCTGGAAACAACAATAAAAAAATGTTTGGGTACATAATACAAACAATATTATGAATACCGTATAAATAATTTAATAGGTACCAGTACTATTGTTAATGACTTTTTATTTAATGTACCTATATATTATTATCAATATTATCCCCCAGAAGAGGTCGGCATCGCGACTACCTACCTAACTACCTTCTTACTATCAGGAGATCTGTCTGCTCATTTGCCACCCAATACTAAACCATAAACTCCTTCCCCCATCAAGAAAAGCGTTTTCTTTTTCAAATATTTTTTCGAATATGAAAAGTACTTACGTGAACTTAACTTTAGCGACGTAAATATGGTGTAGCCAAGACTCGCACATAATTCTGAGGATCATGTTCAAAGTCGTTATGTCTTGTGTCGCCATTATTACTGGTAACATCATTTTATCTGAAACGAAAAGAACTAATCAAAGTGACGGGCTCCCATGGTAATAGACGGTAGATATTAGATATATTATAAACAATTAGTATCATAGCTCATAGAATTTTTTGCATCCTCCTCCACCCGAAAGCCTGGCAATCCACTTGTTCCAATTCCATTGAGAGTTTCAATTAATAAGGTTGATCACTAACCAACATATTGCCGAGGTGTTTAAGGAGTATGACACTCCCTCTAGCTAGAAATCATTCAATTATTTACCCCCCTCAAAACAGCAAATTTTCTTCGAATTGATGATTGAAACTTGGATCAGGCCAACCAGAGTGCGGACATCATAAACGTGTCAAACGCCTTAAAATATTGAAACTCAAACAAGACGCTTTGTTCAGTTATTCATCCCATAAAAAGTTTTGCTCTTATGATATAATTGCCATATAACTCTTTCAACTTACTTAGGAACTCGTGTACATAAATAGAGTGTATAGTTTGTGGTGGCCTTGTGACGATCCGCCATTCCGCATTGCTCGGGAATATCATGGTCAGGTGGGCCAGGCTAGTGGTGGCGCATACTGACGATAACACTTGGATTATTTCCTCTGTAGCGTCCTGGAAATATAAATATACGAAAGGGTTTTTGTGTTACGATAGTAAAAGTGGTGAACGATTAATTTTTTTTTAGGATAGTTAGCAAGTTTTTTTATAGGGCTTTCTGTTAGAGAATTCTGAATTGGTCTATTCGAAAGACATTACATTAGATTTTTCATAAAAATGATAGATTTTCCTATTACATTAAAAATCCACGACCCAAATGAGTTTGGAAAAAGATTAGTAGAATAAGAAACTGACCTTAAGTTTTTGTATGTTGACTTTTACTTCCGAAACCAATTTTCCCTCATCTTGGCGCATACATTTTCATGAACTCCAATTTTACCTGGAAACAAACATTAATTCGTCATGTATAATTTGCTACCTTGTTTAGCTTTGAAGTACTTACATTGCGTTTAAGACACTTTAAAAGTGTACCTACGGACACTAGGGCGACATAAACGCACTTTATAAATCAGTCTAATAGAGGCAGCCTTTATGTAGAGGATGCCTTTACTTTAAAAATGGAATATCACGGGCCTATGGTATTGTACCATAAATAAAAACTATTCACCTGATTCAATAGTGACTGTATGATCAGCAAATCTCAAGTTGATGAGTTGCTCCATACAAGCTTGCATATCATTGTGTGCAATACGGAAGAAGTCTTTCATTTCCCACAAGTTGGCTAAACGTCGCGTCTCTGCCAAGCACCACAGCCGGTACGTGTGAATTGAGTGATCTGAAAGAAAACATAACAAATTATGTGTGTATTTAATTCCGTCTAAAAACACATAGGTATTTTCTAACACAAATATTTTTAGACGGGATCTTTCATGACAAAATATTATGGAGGTCTCAATAAAAATATTTTTAGTTAAAATCACTATTATACAACATCAACCTATATGTCTGTATCCATTTCTGAACAAACCCCCGGTCTCTGACGGAGAATGCTTGTTACTCAAGGTGAATAGCGATTTCAAACTTTAAGTTCAGGCTTCCCTCACGATGTTTTCCTTTGCCGTTTGTCTTAATAATCTTAGAGAGTAAAAAAATCTCACCTAATCGATGCAGGATAGGTATTTGTTCGACAATAGGTAAGTCTTCTAGTGGGGCTCCTAGAATGTAGTCCCAGGTTACTTCACATTGGTTGTTTAGAGTGACCAAGGATTGTAGCATTAAAGCGAAACTAGCGCCAGACTCTGTACTCTAGAAACAAAAATAAATAAAAATAATACTGTTTTTGGTAAATGAGGTTGTATACCATATATACACATAGGAAAAAAATAACCAATATAGCTTTTCAGTCTCTGAATCATTCCAAACAGAGAAGTCATAGTTATTATAGATTGCCTCCCTTGTGACATGAAAAATAAATAAATAAGCATTATTTCGTTTTTATATAGATTCTGCCAATGGCGTCGAATCCAGACCTATCTTTGTGCTATATTTTTTACGGTTTATACTTAGTCGGGTCATAAGTTCTGTCACAAACTTTTGATGTAATAACTTATACGCCTTTTGACAATTATTTAAAAATTATATATGAAATGAAAGGTCATTAAATGTACAATATAATTTTATTTACATTATTCGAAATGCCCTCCCCCATTTTGAACACATGCCCTTAATCTACGCGGCCAGTCATCGATCGCTGCACGCACCACATTCATATCTATGTCTGCCGCTGCTTTAACCAGAGATGCTCGGAGAGACTCCAAATTCGGGTGAGGTTTAGCACAGACTTTTTCCTCCAAATATTGCCATATCTTGTAGTCCAGTGGGTTTAAATCTGGACTAGAAGAGGGCCAGTCTTCATGCCGGATGAAGTCAATTCCACGAGCGATCAACCAGTCTTGCGTACTTCGTGCCTTATGAGCCGGTGCAGAGTCCTGTTGGAATATCCAATGCCTGTTCCTGAACATTGTCTGAGAAAGAGGTTCCACTATGTTTGTTAGGACAGTATTTTGATAAACTTCGGCACTAGTTCTCACACCTTTTTCACAGAAAAACACCTCAGTTACGCCTGAATATGAGACTCCAAGCCAAACCATGAATGAGGAAGGGTAATGCCCACGCTGGACCCTCGCAATACGCGCGCTTGCTTCTTCACTGCTGTGGGCATACACCTTATCATTTTGTTTGTTAAAACTTTCTTCAATAGTAAAAATTTTTTCATCCGAAAAAAGAATTTCGCGGTATTTTTTTCCCGCGTACCGTCGTAGCAAAGCGCGGGATCTGTCTAGCCTAATTTTTTTAAACGCTCGTTCAAAAAATGTCCTGTCTTTTTACGATAAGCTCGTAGTCCCAGGTCTTCATTTAGTACTCTTTTAACAGTGGTTCTGCTTAGCCCCATCTGCAGAGCTAGGATTTTTTGTTTACGTACGGGATTTCGTTCGATTCGCGCCTTCACTGCTTTGATGACCTTATGTGTCCGAACTGTGCGAGGTCGGCCGCTTCTCTTACGATCTTCGAAGCTTGACTCTTCGGTGTATCGTTTGATAGTACGATAAACAAACCGTAACGTTATTTTCAAATTTTGAAGAATATTGAAAATGTCTTTTGGCGCGTAACCACAGCGGTGCAACGCGATAACCGCGATTCTGTCTTCTTTATTCGACCACTCCATATTTAAAAATGAATAAAAAATAATTTCTTTTTTATTTTCTACAAGCGCGAAAGTTCTATTTTTAAAATAAGTCGAAGAATTTCTGGCCAGTAATCGAAAATTAAAAATATAAGGTTTTGACAGAACTTATGACCCGACTAAGTATTATTTCATGTAAAGAAACCAACGCAAAGTAGGTGCGGGAAACATTTTTTTTTATAAAAGAAATAAAAATGTTTTTACGTACCTCCGTTATGTATAAAGATATCTCGGGGTTAATCTTTAACGTCGTTGACTTTAAGTTTGTAGTAAGAGTTGCACTGAAACAGAATGGAAAGAATAATACTTTGTATCAAAAAATAGATAACGCTGGCGTTTGGCCTGTATCCCGCCAGGTGGTGATCAATGATGAGACCTACGATGCAAGCCCATACCATAAGCACCCAGAAGACACCCAGGTTCAGTTACCATTCGGGGAACACATACTCCGGCAAAGAATATCACTCTTTATTAAGGAACCGCGTAGGAGTTCTTAGCGGTTCTGACGAATAAGCTGATGAAGGCGAATCGCTTTGTGTTCATGGCCTGGATATCCATCACGAAACGGTAACGTTTTCCAATTATTTGGTTGTACGGACTGGACTAGGGGAATCAAGTTATTCAATATATATTACATATGTTTCCTTACCCAAAATACTTATCCCAAGATGTCGACGTCACGTGACATCCTAAAGCATCCGCTAATATTCTCAATGCTGACAATATTAATTCTGGAGTATCTGGAAAGAGATAGAGACATAGGGTCTTAATACAATAAATAAAAAAATAAAATAATTGTGCTCCGAAAAACATAAAAAATATGAAAACATATTCCCAGTGAAATTTAAATATAAACTTATTGAAGAGGGCGCCACTAACACCTTAAAAGGTACAGGTGCTTAAATATATTTACGGTAATTAAAAATGAATTGACTTACTGTTAACATTGAACGTAGCGAATAACCACTCACGCAGATTTTGACTTGTATTCGGTGACCTTGAACACAGAAAAAAAATTCAAAAAATTTGCTTAGATACCTAACTATAACTAAATTGGGAAATATCCCAATTATAAACTTTTTTATCCATCTTACCTCATAGCTAATGGATAGTGCGACCACCATAAAACGATATGCTCCAGGCAGCTACCAACATCACCCCAAAGTATATTTTGGTAATATTCAGTCACTTTATGAGCTGCTTTCTTGCTGGCTTGAATTCGACCTAGAAAAATAAAGTTACACGTAGCTAGCTATGCCTTAGTCACTCTTGTTCTAATTTTGAAATGTTTTTTACTCTGTTGTACAAAGCAGATTTATACTACAAAAATGTATGAGTTACCGTTTTTTAATTTCTTCACACCATTATGTCCCAATAAGTTCGGAGACATGTTTGCTACTGTATCTAAAAGTATTTCTATGTACATTTCTTCGCTTTGTAGGATACTGTTTATATTGTCTGAAAAAAGAAGTATGCCTATATTATCTAGTCTCAGATGATTAACCGAACTCTCGTGTACTCTCATGGGTCATTCGTTCAGATTTTTACACCGATTGAATAGAAGGAGATCATGTTTGAAGTGTGGGAGAGCCATGCTTCGGCACGAATGGGTCGGCTCGACCGGAGTGATACCACGGCCTCACAGAAAACCGGCGTGAAACAACCACAGCGTTGTGTTTCGCCGTGTGAGTGAGGTTACCGGAGGCCCAATCCTTCCCCTCCCCCAATCCCTAAATATCCAAATCCCTAATCCCTTATCTCTAAAAGGTCGGCAACGCACTCGTAACTCCTCCGTTGCGGGTGTCCATGGGCGGAGCTGATTGCTTACCATCAGGTAATCCGTCTGATCGTTTGCCGACCTATTACATGAAAAAAAAAATATTGCTTAAGTACGTCTAGTTTAGAAGACCCATGCTTCTGTACAAATGGTCTGTCTCGACAAAGAGGACACACAGAATACTGGCGTGAAAACAACGCTTAGGTTGTGTTTGGCCGTCTGAGTAAGATCAGAAGAACTAGATACCAACAACCTCTTCCCCCCAATCCACAAAAGGGCCGAAATATAACAGTAACTTCTTTTGGTGTTGCGGATGACCTTAAACGGCGCTGATTGCTTACTATAAGCATTCGTCTGATTGTTTATACCATAAAAACAAATGACCATCATCCATATTGTCGGGTCCTATACGGAAGATGTTCAGCCAGGAGGCACCGCGGCCTCGGCCTAGAGCAGGTGACAGGTGTTTTTTAGTCAGTAAGAGTCTGACCCTCTCGCCTGATCCTGGGCGGTAGAAGTCATTTGAAGATTTTCCTAAAAAAATCCTCCATATTGTTAGACGAAAATTAACCAACAGGTACTGTTTACTTACCTTCAGTGTTAAAAATATGTTCCAACGTATACTCATTGGTCATGAGCGACATATAAGGTACCTCAGCGTCGGAATTCTGTGTCGTCACAAGTTCGTTCAGCCGTTTATTGTGTTCGTTTTTCAATTCTATTAGACTCTGTGCTTGCTTCATTTTTAGTTTCTTGTTCACTATGAACGCGTCCCTTCGCTTGTCAACCATATTTCGAGACATTGTTGAAGTAGGTGGCGTGATGTGCTTCGTTAGGGTACTGGAGTGTAAAGATTGTTAGTGGGTTTTGTAATAAGAAAGTTAAGGTTGTATATTGCTTGACTTTTCGGGTTACTTATTTGGTGCAGCATTAGGAAAGTAGTTATATTGTATTAAATTAAATAGAAGATTCTGTTATTACATGTATACAATAACAATAAAATGTCCTTTTAGCTCTCTATCCATAATGGCTCAGTGGCGCCTCTATCGTGTAAACTATAGTTGTTTATATTTAGGTACTTACTGATATATTTCCAGGCTTTCTGCGGAACTAGAACTTGAATCGTTATCGGAGTTATGATCCGGCTGATATACTTTCACTAAACAATTAATTAAGCGTTGACAATTGATTTCAGCACGACTTTTCGATAAAACCTGTGAAAATAAATGTTTCTTAGAGATAACCTGGCACTTTTACTAGCAGATTACAAATCTAAAACCTACACATATTAAACAGTATAGGATGTCGAACCTGGGTCACGGGACCAATGAATTATTATTTTTAAGACAGAATGTTCGCAAATTTTTTCTATGTGTATACCTACTTCGTTATCATCAGTCACTGCACTTGCTCAAGGCCGATTGGCGATTTTAAAGTTCAAGTTTTCTTATAATGTTTTCTTTCGCCGTTTGTGTTTGTAAGTAGGTAGGTAAGTATAACTTGGAAAAAGTCACATTCGTAGGTTTTTGTCAGGTTTAAAAACCGCATGCATGAGAAGCAGGCTCCTTAACCACCAGGCTACCACGATACATAGCTACGTGAATATGGGATGCTATACCCCATACCAAACTTAGGTATTATGGCTCTATGAATCCAGTTACGATGTCTATAACTTCAGTAGTTATGTATTCTATGTTGAATAAATTAAATAGCAGTTCAAGGGTAAACATCATGTTTCCAGAATAATCACATCGATTGCTATTCAGGAAGGGTTTGTAAATTAGGAAGCAACTGCGCAATTTCCAATGATATGTAAAGTTTATACAAATTCATGCAGGAGCCATGATAGAGGATATCAGATCTATAGGATATACATAATATATGTAGGTATGCATATTTTATTCAGGTACTATGTACAGTTATACTATGTGCCAAAAATCAAAATTGATCCAGTACAGAAACTGCCAGTTTGGCTAGTGAGCCAACTAAAGGTAGCAAAAGATACGGCTTAGTTGATTTAAAACTTTATCTTCTAACCCGCATACCAAATAATTGTGTAGACCTGGTGGTGTAGACTGTTATCATTTATATAATAGGTTAACGCAATTGGCATTCACGCACTTTGATATTCCCACACGAAACAGCTTTTTACTTGATCCACAAATTATTGTTCCGGGTCAGTGTGTATGTGTATGCGAAATTTGAAAATTGCAAACGCACCCACATCAACATAGAAAATGTTACAGTGGGATAACATCTTTTCAACGTAGACCCTGACGACAATATGAATATGGTTGTCATTTCTACTAGTCGATCTAGGTAAGTAAGTACTTACTTGAACAATCTTCGTTAAAGATAAGTTCTTAGTTTCACTAATGATGTTCGGATACGAGTTGCTTCCGATGTTGAACTTCGCAGCGAATTTCTTATAACTTAATCCAATCATATCGTTGTAAATTCCAACCAGGCTGAAAAATTATTAAAATGTAGTAGTAGGTACAGTCCAAGACGTACAAACGCACCTTAATGCAAGAGAAACAGGTTTTTTTACGAAATAAGTCGGCAAACAAGCAGACGGATTACCTGGTGGTAAGCAATCAGCGCCGCCCATGGACACTGGTACCTAATACCAAAAGTGTTAGTACAAGTACATTGCCGACTTCTTGTAAGTTATTAGGGATTTAAGGATGGGGGATTTGAGGAGTGAGGATGGGGGGAGAATTGGGCTGCCGGTAACCTCACTCCCACACGCAAAACACAACGTAAGTTTTGTTTACGCCGGTTATCTGTGAGGCCGTGGTTTCACTCCGGTCGAGCCGGCCCATTCGTGTCGAAGCATGGCTCTCCCACACTTAAAACACCTCGAGAGTCCAGACCACCACGACTACTTACTTTAATTTTATGTTATACAGGAAAGTTATTCCATAAAAACTTTAACGTTTATTCCTACTGTAACAATAATTTAAAAATCTCACCTTAAACAAGACTCGATCATTTTCCTAGAGTCCTCTCGATGTAGACAAGTGTTCAGTATAGTATTTATAAGTCCGTGTATACTTTGCAACATCACAAACCGTATGCTACACAATTTATCAAAAATATGATCATGTTTACTTAAAAGCAAACCATTGTCTTTTTTCAAACGAGCCAACTTCGGATTCAATTTGTAAAATGATTTCACTAATTTTGTTAAATATTCTATTATTTGATCTAATACCTGGAAGACAAGAAAAGTTTAAGGGTAGATATATACAAACAAATAAAAACTAAATAAACCAGGACCTTAAGCGACACATGCGACCTCTTTAGAAGAGATAGAAAGAGGTTGCATTTATTAAATATCTATTTAGATAGAAACAAGATTGCAAACTTAGTGTGTAAGTGGAAATGAATGAAACAGCTGGCATGGTTTTTCCTCGATCTGAAATTTAAAATTCTCTCCTAACTCCCATCTGACCATGAAACATAAAGTATACTTACTTTACGGTCTTCATAAATTTTAACGTTCTAGTCAATCCATATTTCATAAAAAGAAACTTAAAAAATATTTAGATAAATAAGAAAAATATAATACAAAAAAAACTTACCTGTATATTAACTAATTCCATAATATAATTCCGATTGGACAGCGAATGCGAATTATTTTTACCGAGTGCACCCTTCCATTTGTTATCAGAGTCTAATATCACTTTAGTAACAGCAAAACAAACCATTTCCATCTCGCGGCAATGAGAGAACAATTCTTCTTCATCGGGAGTTTCCTCACTTATCCACTTTTTACTAGTTACTTTAGTTGATAACATTGTTAAATAAATATTTGCTAGCGAAAAATAAAAATAAAAAAGTTCTACAAGGTTCGTACTATCTGGTGAGAATCATGGTAACGACTGAATCACTGCATAGTATTGTGTATAAAATCGATGTGTAGCGCCGTCGGTACCAGGCCCCGAGGTGATGCCAACAAAGCGTCTAAACCCTTGCTGGACAACTTGCCAATTTCAATCGTTAAACTTTTTATTAGTGTAGGTACAACCTTGAATTTACGACTAGCGAAATTGTTAAGACTTTCCTGTGTAAACTTGTTAAAAGGTTTCTATTGACATCGTAAATTGGTTATAAGGTTGGGAACACACTGTGTAAGTAGAACACTTTGTCTATTAAGAAGAATGTTAGTATCTTACGACTTTAATGATTGATAGGCGATGGTGTGATGCATATTTTGTGTTGTTCTAGCATGGCTTTAAGAACAATGAAAACTCACTATGATTGTCCATGATGATTGTATCATTAATAGGTAGATACTCTAGCGCGGTTTCACTCACTACTCTGTTCCTACAGATCGTAGCGAGATATTTTATAGCCTTTAACTTTCCTTTATAAATAGACTAAGAAACACAAAAAGAATTGTTGATCTCGAACCAGTTGTTCTAGAGATTAGCGCGTTCAAACCAACTCTACAGCTTTATAATATAAGTATAGATTGATCAGTAAACGAACCTGAATATACTACAAATCTTTCTTCATTGCTCATACTCTATAGCATTGAAAAAGGCAAACACTAAAACTGGGTTAAGTACGCAAGCATAGGTAGTACTTGCCCCAACAAACTGGCAATACAGCAGGCCAAGGAAAGTTCAGCAGAGGTTGTGAAAAGCGTCCTTGGTGAAAAATTACATAAAATTGCAAAATGAGATTACCTAGCGAAGAATTACCTATTTTTATTACCTATATTACAGATCCATAAAAAGGGGGTATATATTATTCTTCTATGCAATCTTCTGGTAGTTTAGTCTTGGTAATAACAGACCATGTGTGTGAAATTCGTGATAAATCCGTTTCTTTATTTAAAAATGGAATGGAAAAAGTTCATACTACTGTTGTAAAAATGAAGGAGTATAAGAAAACACATAAGTATGTACAGTTGATAAGTATTTTTAATAATTGCGAAACAATATAAACAAACATTATTATTAACAAAATATTCAGGTAATTGTTCGAACGATATTGCGTATTGCGACATCATAGGAAGATAATATCACAGTAACATAATTAATAGAATAGCCCTGTACAGATTAAGGTTGAATATTTTATGTAACTCCGTCTAACAACGTATGTATTACAAAATAGGCACTACATTTTTATAGACGCGGCAAGACAGACATTTTTATATCTTAGCAAATGGCTAATTTCCTTTCGTTACCAAATTTCAAGCGAGTACACTGTTCACGTAATTCATGTAATTCTTGTCAGACATGCAAAGGTTATATTATGCTAATTTCTTAATTTCTTGTTAGACTTAACCAAAAAGGTAAAAAAGCGTTGTGTTAAAACCTAGATGCCATGTTGTTTTTTAAGGATATTAAATTTTCTTGCTTATCAAGCAAATCTCTATCTCTTAAAGTCTCTATCTCTTAAATATTTCCAGTGAGTAAGTCGATTTATACATTTAAGGTAAATAAAACTAAATACAGTATGATCAAAGTTCCCACAAACTAAACGGGGCTAAGTTTTGTGGGCCATGCCATAAATCCTAAGTTAAAAATACTGTATGTAATTGTTTTAGTAAATAAAAATACGATACCTCATGCCAAAAGGCTATTAAAAACTTTTGCATGTAATAAATCCAAATAAACTAGATAACCGATTTCATTACAACTTCGTATCGATATTGATTTAAAACTTTGTGGAAAACGAACTTTTTTTTTTCGTTTACAACGTGTCACGCAAGCCATTCTAATTTTGAATAAACAGAAGCGCGGTAGTAAATCATAGAGTTTTGCGTGCGTGGAGTTTGGTGTCACTATTGCCACTAGAACGGAACATTATGGTATTTTTCGTGTGACATCAATGGGTTCTTATCACGAAACCTTCTCTCCAGTATAGTTTAAATATGTTTCATATGCGGTAGTAGTAAATTCTAAATAGTGACATGTTAGGTACCGCTTCTCAAGAGTAATTTAGTACCTACTAAATATTGTTTTAAATATAAAACAAATGTCATTTCTCTGTCTCTAAAATATTTTCAAATAGGGACAAAATATAATCTTTACAACGCTACAGGTTTTGATACGGTTTTTTGAATAGATATAGTGATTGGAAAAAAAGGTTTATATGTATAATAACATCCATTAATTAGTGGAGGAATTTAGTATTAGCATTGCACCTGAACGAAGCCGGGCGGATGTCTAGTTATAATATAATCAAACATATTTTTAGTCTAACAAAATGTCTTTTTAGTACATATTTCTTTTTGAAACTCTATACATGTCTGACAAGATTTTAGCTGCGTCACTCACTAAAGCATCAGTTCATCTACTATTTAAACATCAACATTAGAACAATAACGTTGTAAAATTAACTACATTTGTACATATTTTTATACAAAAAATTAAAGACAATATTGCATGCGCTTGCATTGCGAAAACCTTTTAATAATACATACATTTTACAAGCGCTTAAGGCTCATTTGTCTTTGTTGGAGATCGCCTTGCTTTTTTATATTGAACTTATAAGACATCGAGACTACTTAACAAAGAGTTTTTACACCTCAGTCTCAATTAAATGTCATGACTCTATGATTGCCGTTCTTAGAACAATATGTCGTATCTCAATACATATTCAAATTCTACTGATATTAACGTGTTAAACAAATAATCAATACCTACTACAATATTATTATGTTTCGATAAAAGTCCACATTGACAGATATACATAAATAAATGAAATGTCACTGGCATAAAAATGTGAGCCAAGATAACATATAACTTTTTAACAGCCACGGCCGGGCCCAAATCCGCCCATGTCAGCCATGACCAACGTATTTTTCAAGTAAATTTTATTTGTCTTTTCTGGCCGACCGTGCCAGTAAACAGTTTAATCTGTCTTAACTGAACTAGGTCTTGTGTTCGTAATAAGTCTAGAAAATATGTTACATTCGAAATAAAAGATGCTTTTAAATGACATTATGCTGCCTTAGCAAAATGCATTAAACATTTTTTCAGTACTGCGTTTCTTTTTAGTTAAAATGTACTGATGTAAGGCGGTTCAACCTACCCATTGTTAAATTTCTTCAATTATCAAATTTATCATTTTCCAACAAAGTGCAAAATAAATTGAAGGAATTAAAATAGTTTACGAGCTGGTCTCTCAGTAACGTACAGACCTAAATCTTGTGCAGAAAACGCCAATTACCATGTAAGATTTGCGACTCCAAAAATGAAACACCAATGAATTCCATTACAATTCCTTATTCAAAAATTTCAAATTGGAACATTTTTAAATTTTTCTATTAAATTAGTTACTGAAACCTACGCTAATAAGGGCCGTAGCCACAGATAAAATCGATCACTTTGTTTCCAAGACAAATATTATTCTCTTTTTAAATTACTACTTCTTTTCTCAGAAACTAGGCAAGATTTGCAACAAACCTTACACTAATTCAATTTCATTATTTATACAAAACAAAAGGAAAGCAAACGCGATGATGTTCCGGTATATTTTACCCATAAATATACATACAATTTTTAATCTACATAAATTTTACTAAGCACACGATTTTGAAAATAAATAGGTCGCCTCTCTTATGTCTATGTTGAGACGTTTAAAATTTAGCGTCTAAAAATAATGGCAAAGAATGAATTGATTTTAATTGTTGGTTAGTTGAACGTGTGATGATGACCAACCAAACTAGTACCTACACAGCAAGATTGCTTATTTTGATATGACTAACAATTATCACCATTACCTGTCAGGTTAATACTAAAGCCACTTCATTAAATAAGAGATTAATTCATTCACAGGTACTCCTACAAAATACTTTAAAATTTATCACTTTCATTATAAACATGCCAAAATATTTCACTATACCAAAATAATTCATTGATATAATCTGGTATTGTCTATTAAAACCTTAATTTAATAAGCAAGAACAATTGCTATTTGGTGTGAACAAAAAACTCGTGGGATATGAACGACACAAAACTTAATAAGGCGAGCTGCCATGGCAACAAACAAACTGTACTAAAATAAACATCAATGAATTAGCCTACATAGAAATAACAATAAAAATGTACACAATGTATGTAATATCCTTTCACTAAGTTAACCTAAACAGGGAACGTGTAGCATAGCCCTAATATCAAACTTAACAATGTTTAATATTGCTCCATAGTAATATTTAGAAGCCCGATCAATACAGAAGGTATCGTCTAACGAGTGAACACACATTTCAGCACTTACCGAGCTATATAAACATCAATCTGGCATGTCTATACTCGTTATAGGCACTACTGGTTTCATTATTTCGTTTTTCTTTTGATTCTTCTGCGATTTTTTGCTTTCTTTTACTTTCTTTTGCGTTTCGTCGTCGCGGTACGGTTCGGGGGGCTCGCTCGGCACTACATTGGCGCCTCGGTTCACGTTGTTATTGTACGCAATGTTCGCGTACTCTTGTAGCAGTGGGAATACTGAGAGAAGGAACTGACAGAAGTCTTTCCTGATTCCGAACCACCCTGGAAATAACATTTGAATCAATGTACCATGCATGTCTTCTAGAAAATAAACATAAGGAAAATTCCTAACAAGAGTAAACTTACATCACTTAACACGTATTTTTTAGAAAATGCTCTCTAATAGGTTTGTTTTTGGAAGGGACTACCATGGCTATAAAATGGGTTCGCCCGCCTTGGATGGGGCAACTGGGAATAGAGTGTCAGACTTTAATATAATAAACCAACCGGTCTCTTCTTTTGTCTGTGATATATTATTGGGTTTGCACCGGAAACCCTGGCTGTTCTATAATTAACTGAGGCTGTCCATTCTTTATGTTAATTAAGAATCCGAAACACAAAAGATCTAGGATTCATAATAATGGATTAAAAGATGTACTAGAGAAATCGTTAACTTCACCAACGAACAAGTTAATAGAACATCATATGTTTGAGACTTTCAAGAAATCTTCAAATTTTAAAACTTATGGGTACCCTGAAAAGAATTTTATTACTACAATCCATCTACTAAAACGAACTGGCGAGTTATTGACGACAGAAATAGTTCAATCAATAAAGCGAACGAAGCGTATCGGTCAAGGCTTGCGAAATTAGTCATCAAATACTCGTTACCTACAAAATTGTTGTACAAACAAAAAAACATTTGTCAACTAAAACATTTAGGTGGAAATTATCATAGAAATATAGTTATAGTTTGAGAAAAATAAACACCTTAGTTTTTTTTTTTTGAGGAGTTTATACCATCAAACGACTTCTCTCGCCCAGGATATGGCGAGAGGTAGTAGACTCTTACTGACTAACCCCCTCCCTAATTCCTTCTCCTGACTTGGGCTGTTGCAGCCCAATTTGTGGAGGTCTATTGCAACACTTTAATACTTACGTTCCCAATATACGAAGAATTGTATTACTTGTATTTCTAACATTTAATTCTATAACCAATTTAGACACAATTCTCAATTAGTTTAGCCAACTGAGGAGTAGATGACTAAAAAACAATGATGAAAAAAGGATACTTTATAAGGTACTACTACATTTACGGAATTAAGGAACGGAAACATATTTTTTGAAATAGTTTCAAGGCAGGCAGTTTAAATAGTACTAGTAAACATCATAATTAAAATTTGGACTCATTATAATAAACATTTTCATTAGCAAATAGTTTATAAAGCGAAAACTGCTGGTGATTCTGTACACGCAATATACCGGTAGGGTAATTAATTAAAACCAAAGGCTTATTTTCATATTAAAAAGCACAAAATTTTGGGACTAAGCTAAAATATAGTTTTATATGTCTTTTATCAGTAAAATGACATAGATATACTTATATGTCATTTTACCGAAAACGACGAACAACTGTTCGTAAATATGGCTATCATTTGAGCCAAACATTTTCATTTGGTAGTTACTAACTATTTTCGCGCTGTTTAACCCGCTCCTCGGTTCCATTTGATCGTAACGTGATGTTTTACAGTCTATAGCACTCAGGAACATTATAGCTATCTATCAGTGGTAGAATTTACCTCTTTATAATATTTATAGATTGCCGGTTGCAGGTCTTTGTAAAATAAATATTCTATGCTTACATTTATTGCCTCCTTTAGAGCTGAACGACATGATGATGAGGGTCGCGTAGCTGACGAATAGCGGGCTGACCACCACTGTGTACGTGAGGGGCAGGCCATCGTCCAACTTGTTTGTTAATAGCACCTGTATAATACATGATAATTTAATTATTTTAAATGCCATTTTATGTGTTATAATTTTCGTGAGACATAAAAAAATATTTGAAACTAGCGGCCCGCCCCCGATTCGCACGGGTCCCTATCTCGCTATCAAAGAGTCACTTTTTCCTAATCTTCCCCTCTACTTTTCTAATATTTTTATTGATAAAAACCATCTCTTGACAATAACAAACACAACAAAAAAAGAATTAGCAAAATTGGTCCAGGCGTTGTCGAGTTATGCGCTTACCAACACATTTGCGATCCATTTTTATATATAAGATGTTTAAAGGCTTTCACACATACCGTTTGACGAGATAGCTCGACTAGCAACGTTGCATTGAATATGCGCCCCTGGCGTGGCTTGAAACTAGTCGAGTCATACTGTCAAGCGTATTTTAATTAAAAGTATGTGTGACTGTAGTTGACCAACTTTGTCAGTAATCGACAAAGGAAGACACAATAACGTCCTGACATGACTAATTAATAAACATATAACACATAAGTATTTATATACAAATACTATGCAGCTCAATTACATATGTGCTGAGTAACATGAGTCATTCAATTACTGCATTTAAATACACAACAAGACCTTATATAATGAGGCTTAAATAAGGTTTATCAACTTGAGGAAATATAAACGCAAACTAGCTTGTTTACTTTGATTTAAAAAATCACTCAATCCTCTGTTAATCGCATAGAAATATTCTGAGCAGTTTTGGAGTATATTGCAAACGTACAGAGTGTGAGAGGTCTTTACTGAGCAGTGGGCATTTATAGGCTGATAATGGGATATTTTGTTGTGCAGCTGTATGGTGTCAGTCAAATGTGTAGATCCTTAGTCGGTTCTTACGACATTCGCGGCAATTATGTGTGGGAGAGCCATGCTCCAGCACGAATAGGCCGGCTCAACCTGAGTGATACCACGGCCTCGCAGAAAACCGGTGTGTTTTTCACCTTGTGAGTGAATTTAACGGATGCCCTATTCTTTCTCCATCACCAACCCCCATGCAAAATCCTCAAAAAAAAAAAAAATGTGTAAAAGTAGTACAAACCTGAAACACCAATATAGGTATGACTGTGAACGTGTACGCTAGAGCCGAGTTAAAGCTAGTACGCCGCTGTTGTATGTTCACCTCGGGTGTCCGGAGTAGGATCCCAGCAAATATTATACTGTAAAGGACCCCTGTGGAAGAAAAATACCTTTTATTTCTATCTATCTGTAAGTTTATTTTCTTTTGTATATGAAATGTAAGTGCGAAAAAATTTATCGTTATCGTTTCGTGGTCAAATGGAGCTTCTGGAATCACAATCTGGATTTTTTTAATAGGAACAATCGTGACACATACAAAATTTATTGAAAAGTAGCTTTTGCCCGGGACTTTGTTCGCCTGAAATAGTGTCTTCCTGCAGATTTTTTGTTTAAAAACTATCCTATGTCCTTTCTCGAGTTCCAAACTACGTCTGTACTGTACGAAATTTCACAATATTTACAATAGGTTCAGTAGTTTAGGTGTGAAGAAAAGACAGACAGAAAATTTCAAAGAACAGATGTAACTTCAATCCCTCTCCCTCCCCTATCCCTTCATAATCCTTATATCCGCAACACTTATCCCCAAAAGGCCGGCAACGCGCTCTTAACTCCTTTGGTGTTGCGGGCTCAAAAATCTTAGGCATCAATAGTAATTAGCTCTAGTATAGCTTTCAAGTTGCGTAAACGCAAAAATACACAGCTATACACATTATACTATTTGTATGTATATCAACCGATGTTTAATCTGGATTAGAACTATCAGAACATTATCAGATTACCTGGTAATCTTATTATCACTGTTTTACTGCTAATTTGTTCCTATACATATCTAGGTTAGTGTATCAAGTCATTTGAATAAAAGGCGCCATTAACATCATTATAATGGTACTTGAAAAAACATCAAAATCAGGTTTTTAATGTGACACTGTATTTAATTAGAACTGGTTTGTTGACTGAGGTCACGTGTGAAGTTGCGAGTTCGATGGTTGGGTCAAAATTTTAGTTGAGGAAATTCTCAATTAGGACATGGGGCCTGGGATAAATCCTGATGTATGGAATGTGGCTCGTCTTCCAATTGCCCCTTGTAATATTTCTCATTAAAAATTCTCTAAAAATCTCAGATAAATGTGGGTACACTTTAAAGTATACCTTCTTTTAATTCATCAAACCCCAAGCGAACGCCAGCGTTCGCGAACATTCTTATATTGTGCCATGATTCCACCATTAAATTATTAAATTTTCTACTTCAGTATAGTATTTAGCAGGGTTTTGAGAATCAAAGTATTAAAGTAGAAATACGAAAATATACTATTCATATTCACAAATCCTTATTTAGTTAAATGAAAACTACAGTTCCAAAGCAAAAGGTCTAAAATAAAAATATTGGCTAAAGTATAATGGTAAACTAAACACCTATAACGCTAAATGGAATATGAATAAGGCCATACATACACTCACCTACAAGACTGAGGCACATCAGTATCCACAGCGGTACAAACACAACCTCCCATGACCAACTGATGAACTCATCCAGCTTCAGTGCCAGAAATATGAACTGGAGTATATTTACAGCACAAAATAGTTCCAACTGAAACAATACATTTCAACTTTTATAAAAGCTTCACTGTTTCCTTATGGAACAGGGTGACACACAAACAGAAGGATCAACTAAGTGGTAAGCAATCAACGCCGCCAACTCGCGCCGAAAAATGGCAGTGCCATGACAGAAAAGTCAATGTTTTTTTTTTTTTTTTTAAATCTTTATTTTATTAAAAGGGCTTTTTTCCATACAGAAGATTTCAGCCCTATTATTGTGTACAAAATTCAGTGCTTACTTATCTACTTATTAAACCATTTATAGGTTTAGCTAGCTCTTAACTTTAAACATAAAATAATTAGACGATACAATTTTTTGGCCTCAGATGATAATGGTGACGCTAGCACACTATGATAAAAACCAATATCATAACTGTTAAAACTAAAATCCTGATATCTCTGAGACTCAATACGACGACACTCATACAAAATGTGTTGAACGTCCTCTACAACACCACACACAGCACAATTGGGTGATTCGACTTTATGCATCATGAATGCAAAACTATTGAGAGGCATATGTCCACATCGGAGCCTTAAAGCCGTGACGATTTCTTGCCTACTCATCCCGCCCTCACCGAACCAGAAAGCTCGAGGAAGCGTCGGCTGTATTGTTTTATACCAAATGCCTTTAGTAAGAGACCTCTTGTCAAAGTATTCTGACCATACTTTATAGCAATTTTCTCTTATCAAAGGCAGTAGTTCAGTATGCCATGGAGGGCAAGTATAAATCTCCCCGTCAGATCCCGCTTCCCCAGCCAACCGATCAGCTTCCTCATTTCCTTCTAATCCAATGTGGGAAGGTATCCACTGTAACATAATACTTTTGCCCTTGGCCCTGAGGTCAAAAATAGATCTTAAAATACTGTAAGCCATTGGAAGCCCTCGCACAGATAAATTTGAATGGATTAGGTGCAAAAGCGCACTTTTTGAATCACAAAAGATAACAAAACGGTCTCCGTCTAGGGATTGAATATACATCAGAGCTTCCGATATGGCAATTAATTCTAAGTGCATAATTGACAGCTTCGATAAAATGCGTAATTTAAAACTTATGCCTTTTTGTGAGTCAAAAAATGCGGCACCGTAACAATTATCCCTTATTGAACCGTCTGTATATAAACAATGGTATTCTGAATATAATGAAGATAAAGACTTGCAACAGATTGATCTTAAGTTATAGCTATTATATGTATTTTTTGGTTTGTCTATATGTTCTAAATTAGGTCTAATGTTAGATAAGTCCATATTACTGCCCCACATATCCATAGAGAATAAACCTACACTACCACTTGCATACACGTGTTCTCGCTTTAAGGCATCATGTGTAGAAACTAGAAGAGGTATTTTTTTATTTCTCCAGAAACGATTATTACTATGACTTTGTAAATTGTCGATCAAATTAACTAACGGAGACTTAAAACTCTTACTTTTCAAATAAAATTTCCCGGCTAAAAAACGACGTCTAACAAATAGAGGAGATAAAGATAGCTCAGCTTCCATCACGTGAATTGGGGTGCTTTTGATGTACCCACCTATGAACCGTAAACAAATATTTTGCAACCTATCCAATTTTAATAAATGTGTATTGGCGCTATTGTCATATAAGAAGCTACCAAAGTCTATACGGCTACGAATCAATGCTATATATAAGCGCCTTAGGTGCTTGGGGTGGATACCCCATGCCGATCCTACCAAGATCTTAAAGATATTTATCAACTTGGTAACTCTTTCACACAATTCATTAATGTGTTTATTCCATCGCAGCCCCCTATCTAGCCAGATACCCAAGTATCTAACATTATCTACCAGTTGTAATTGAGTACCATTAAGATGTACGTCAAAGAAGGTCCTACGAAAACCTCTGCTAAATAGGCAAATTTTACTTTTTGAAGGAGAAACTTGTAAGCCTGATCGTGACAGCAACCTATCCATTAAATTAAGTGCAAGCTGGATTTTACTTTGACCCTCACTAATCGATGAGCATTGCAAATATATTGCGAAGTCATCAGCATACTGCGTTATGCAAACGTCGTTATTCTGAATTTGTTTACAGATATTTAGTGTTAAAATATTAAATAATAGCGGCGACAAAGGATCTCCCTGTGACAAACCCATACCAGCGCATCTATTAATATATATATTCCCGGATTTAATTTTTAGAACTCTTTGGTGTAAGAAATTCCATAAATATTTACAAATAAGTGGACCCACTCGAAGGTTATTTAAAATATCAATTAAGGCTGTATGATTTACATTATTGTAAGCATTATCGATATCCAGGAAACAACCCATCGTTAAATACCCCGCACAAAAACCTGACTGGATGAAGGTTATTAAATTACTTAAACCATCCAAACATGACTTACCTCTACGGAAGCCTACTGTGTTTGTAGAAAAAATATTTAGTTTTTCAACAAACCATTCCAAGCGTCGTAATATAATATAATGAAACGTCTTACATATACAGGATAAAAGAGAAATAGGACGCAAACCTGATGCGCTATTAATGTCGCGACCAGGTTTCGGGATAGGTATGATACCAATGTCAAGCCACTGTGAAGGAACAAAACTGTTCACTAAAAAAAAATTAAACAATTTAAGTAATACCTGCTTACCTGATTCAGGTAAGTGTTTAACCATCGAATATGAGATATCATCACATCCAGGAGATGTATCCTTATTTTTAATACATGTATTTAGCTCCTGGATAGAGATTTCACATTCTATTATGGAATTACTTTCATGGAGTGTGGGACATAATGGGGACACATAATCTGGTGTTAGAGAGTTGAGTAAATTAGTCTTACCTGTAACGTCTACATATTGCCTTGGCGAGCGATAACCTTTGATCCATTTCAATTTATGCCACATTTCGCTGGGAGAGGTATTGTGATCGATCGAAGAGCAAAATTCTTGCCAATGTGATCTTTTGGCTATTCTTATAAGTCTTTGAGCAGTATGAATGCGATTTTTAAGAATATCAAGGTTCTGTACGGTAGGATTACGCCTGAACTTAGACAACGCCAGCCTACGTTGTGCTACAACATGAGAAAGTTCTGATGACCAGTAAGGTTTGGAGATAAATTTAGAAGTAGGGTTTTGGTTCAATTTTAAATATGGGATAAAAAGGTCCGCGGCGTCATTTATGGTCTTAACAAAGGAGTCATAACCTTTTTGTGGGTCACTTGGAAGGATAAAATTATTAAATTCTTTTTCTAAATGATTTTTATAAGCTAACCAATTAGCTTTACGAAAATTTCTAATAGATATAGGAGGAATGTGAAATGACAACTGGGATGAAATTTTAATTATTAAATGGTCACTACCCAAATTTTCGTTTAAAACGGACCAACCAACTCCCAAAGCAATATCATTGGAAATCAATGATAAGTCAGGGGCCGATTGTTGCAAGATGTTATCAACTAAACGAACACGTGTATGAGTTCCGTCGTTCAACACAAAAAAGTTACTGTCCATAAGCGCGTCATAAATGAGATTACCTCTGTGATCATTTTTATATGACCAAGTGGTATGGTGCGCGTTAAAATCACCTAGTATAATTGTATTATGTGACCACATAGATAATACGCTATCCCAATCCTGACGATTAGTAACAATCCTGGATGGACAATAAACAGAAATCACGTATTCGAAGGGCTTGCAATTAAATAATTGAACACATATAATCTCAATACCTGCATTGTTGAGTCGAACCGGTTTCTGTTGTGCTTTGATACTATTATGTAAAAAAATAGCTACTCCACCGTACGAATCATGTCGATCCGAACGATAAACATTATAACCGCTGATATTAAAATTACAAACCGGTTCGAGCCATGTTTCACTTAGTGCAGCAATATGAACTTTTTCTTGATTTAAAATTTCACTAAACGACAATAACTTAGGTCTTATGCTTTGGGCGTTCCACTGAATTACATTAAATGAAACCCTATTAGCCATCACGCTGGATATTCACTAAGTTCCACAATACTTTGATCATCGGCCACTTAGATATGAAGTTAACAATTACCAATACTAACCATTCTAAGCACAGTTGTATTATAGATTTCACTTTAGTAGAAAGGTTGGATTGCCTAAGGAAAATAATTTCTTTAATTCTAGAGAGTAATTCATTAAAGGAAGGCCTCTGATTGTTTTTATCATCCTCTTCATTATTACCTGGAAGTGGACTAGTGTAGTCTGGCTCAGAATTCCAAAACATCCAATCTTCATTAACATCACGCTTTCTCTCTTTCGAGGCTTGTTCTTTATCAGGATTTAATTTATTTTTGGATTTACCGGGTGAACTAAACAACTGTAATGAAGGGTGACCGTTAACTTTAGATTGAACCACTTCGGCATACGTAGAACAAGCCGTGGGTTCTGGGTTAATCTGTAATGACTTCCGACCAAGGGAAGGGAAAAGGTTCTGAGAGCTCATGTCTAACTGTGGCTGTCCTGGAGCGACAGTATCAAGTGTAGCTTGGCTTTTAGGAGAGATGTAACATTCCAAGGCTTTCCTGTAAGTACAACCAAACTCAGACATAATCTCCCTAATCCTTCGTTCTTTCTTATAGGCTGGACATGCCTTGCTCAACGAAATATGGTTGCCCTTGCAATTCACGCAAGCAAATATAAGAGACTCACAATTTTCATGAGGACCACCACATTTCGGACACACAACTTTCTTTGTTTGACACATTTTTCGACTATGACCTAACTTCCAACACAAAGAACATTGCGAAACTTGGTGAACATATGGTAACACTTTTATATGAATGTCACATACACTAACGAATGCCGGTAAAAAGTCACCTTCAAAACAAAGCCGAAGTGTTTCACTGGGGCACCACCCGCCATCCACTGTATTACGACGGTTTAATCTTCTCACCGATAATAATTTTGCAGGAGCAGGGCATGAAATGTTTTGCTGTATTTCTTCATCTGACAAGTCAAGGTCAACATTTTTAATCAGTCCATAGCTTAATGAAAGTTGCATAGACTTCTGAATTCTCCAACCTTTTTCTCTAAGCTTTCGCAATTACATACATTATTCATAGCCAACTCACATTCAAATTGCAATCTAATTTTATAGGGGCTTAAATATTTGACCTGACTGATATTGCCGATATTATTTTCTTTTAAAATTCGTGCCAAAGCAAATTGCTTAGGAAGAGGATCTTTGTGTGATATATACACTTCATAATTCTCCTTGTGCAGTTTACTAACGCATTCACGACGTGTCTTTTTCTTGCCTTTTATTTCAGTCCAACTATCTTCATCTCCAGTACTTTCCTCTCTCTGTCTCTTTTCAGCTCTCGCCAATTCATCCCGACATACTTTATCTACATCTTCATTCTCATTATCCATTTGTTCTACATCACCATTATGCGTGCCACCGCATGACGATGCACTATCATTATCTTCCATAGTTTACTTATAGGGCCGAGTGGCCGAAAGAACCGGCCCACTCCTACCGCACGTGTGAACAATAACAACTTACTTTAAAGTTATTATCAGAACAATAATTCTACATAAGATATTTAATAACAGAAAATTTAAAAATATGTTTGTGACGTCCGATCACGAGATCCGTCAACGTGACACTCGAAAAGTCAATGTTACTTTTTGTAAGTTTACTTGCCAAGTGCGATTGAGATATTTATTGAGGTGCTAGCTTCTGCCAGCAGCTTCGTTCGCAGTAGCAGGGTTTAAAGTTCGCGCGCGCCTCAAAGAGCCAATAGACCACCACAAACGGGGCCCTAAAGGGCTGATGTTCAGCCGGGGTTCAGCCGGGGGTAAGCGCAATGAGGCACCGCAACCTTGGCCCAGAGCAGGTGAAGGAACAGGGGGGTTTTTAGTCAGTAAGAGTCTGACACTCCCCCCCTTCGGCACTGGGCGGGAAAAGTCATTTGAAGATTTTGCCCTCACAAAAAAATTAAGATTTTAAAGTTGGCTTTGTGTTAATACTATAATCACAACTAACTATAATAACTATAATCATCATAAAAAACTTATAATCTAACACCGTGCCAAATTTTATTTGAGTTTACACATATTTTTGAGTTTATTACCTAAACAGGATTTTTAGACTGTAAAATTAATAACAGTGGTCAGTTGGAACTTGTCTGAAGGCTATGCTAACATCTAATATATGCTCTGTAATACCCATCCATTACATTATAGGTTTCATTATTTTAGTTGGAGAAAAATGTGTTAAATAAACCAAAACGAAATAAAATTATACCATCTGATCTTTAGGTATAATTATTTCAATAAACATTGATGGACTTTAGCTCTAGTTAGATAGATAGATGCATTATTTATCAACCAATGACCTACTAGATAGCAAGGTCAACAAGTTCAAACAGATTATTGCCTAATGCAGAATCTATTATTCTATCTCTGTTACACTTCTAAATCAATGTCACAATCACATTCAATAAGATCCATCATACAATAAAATATGGACTCTACAAGAATACATAAATAATCTTGATTTACATAAGGAAGTAGCTTTTAATGTGCACCTGCAAAGAATAATTTAGTTGTTTTTTTTCTGCAGTGAGTTGTAATCCTGTAGAAATATTAGGGCGAAAGGAGCCTATATCACTCTTAGAAATATTTGAAAAAGGCCCAGATTTTTTTTAGCAATTTTTGTCTTTGTAACATTATTGTGAATGTTTAATTTATACAAACCTCATAGCTGCGATCATGTTTCACAGACCATATACAGATGGCAATGGAAACTATGCTTATAAAGATGAGTGGAATAAACACCAATATCCACACATGGCGACTGGTGGTCAACTGGTCACATACTAGCAGCTCAAACATAAGCAGGATCAAGTGAATGGCAAGACTTATCAGCATAGCTTTGTAATGAATGTACGCTTCACCCTCCAACCTGGAAAAGAAGGTTTGGATTGCTTGGCTTGTTTGTTTATTTAATATTTTTGATATAAAAATGGTAATATTGATGGATACTAGTTAAGGAAGTAACATGTGTTAAAAGTTAAAATATAATGCCTTGTTTTTGGATATAATCATCAATCCCAGATACCATTTGAATATCAACAATCAACATTGTTTCATTAAAATGCTTATGGCTTTATGATTCATTGATATAATATTAGAAAAGAATAGATAACCAAGTCTAGAACCAAGTGATTTGTTGATTTTTGAGGTTTGTGACATACACTTCTTTAAACAAATTTATTACAAGTTTTCAAAAACTGTTTTTTTTATATCATGGCCTAACTATTTTTATGAAGTAGCATAAAAATAGTTAGGCCATGATTGATAATTTTTTTGTAATTAATGTAAGGGATAGAGCTAATTATTGTCAATACCATCATCTGCAGTCTGAGTCCTGCTTACTTACTCTTTTTAGTAATGGTTCTGAATGACAGCATCAGAAGAGAGGCATATTAAAGTGCTTAATAATATAAACAGATGTTAGCCTAGTTTTGTGATTTGATATAGGCATTTCAAATCGATCCTTGACATAAGTGTACTTACCTGAAGTGAGGGTACTGCCACCAAACATATGTGCCAACTGTGGCACCAAGAACCACAAGAAATTTCCACACCCATATTGGAGTAAACACGGCCCAGTACGACCATGTTATCGAATTATCTAACTTTAAAGCTAATAACGCAGTAAATATTAGCAAACAGCTGTGAACCACAAATTTGCTGGAAACAACAAAAACAATAATTAGAACAAGTTATCACATACTGTCTCAATAACATACAAAATAACTTTACATTACCTTGGATTAAAATCCTGAAATAAAGTTTGTAAATTCATTTCCATACACATAGAGGACGTCAAACGTTTTTAACATTTCACATAAAAACAAGTCTTGATGACTGAATAATTTTGATTATTCGATAGATAATCTCAGAAATCACAACACAAGAGCCATTCTATTTTATCAGCTGCAAGCATTATTCACCACAGATAGTTTAAGGTGATGCAGTTATGTCATAACATTTTGCTAATATTGTCGATAGACACAGTAAATTGTTTCATAGATTATAAATTATAAATACCAGGATTTAGGCTGGTATCACACACTCGGTTTCTGATTTCGAAATAAGTGTATCGTGATGAAGTATGAGCAACCGTTTCCAATTTTATAGTTTTTATACAGAGCATTCAGTAGATTTCATCCATAAATACTACCGAAATATAAATACTCAATAACTATCCATTTTTCCTCGAGTATTATTTTATCCAAAACTTTCTAATTTTAAGGTGAACATGAAAATAAAAAAATGTTATTAAAAAAATGGTAAAATAAACAATTATTTTGGAAAATAAATAAACGACTATTTATCCTTTTTGACCTATCACTATATGGATATCCAAATCAAATGCAACATAGATTTTGTAAGTCTGTGAAATGCAATAATAAGAATCTTTAATTTGTCATAATTGTCAATGTCAAACCAAGAAGAAAATAATTATGGAATGGAGGTATTGACACTTTGACAGTGACAGTGTTGGTCAAAAAAGTATTCTTTCCAAAAAATTAATATCGATGCAAGTAATTAATTTTGTAAAGTTGTCGACGTTACTCGTAATTTAGTTATTTCTTACCTAAATAGCTTCTTATCTTTTAAAATACTCCGATATCATGGCTTCGCCGTCACCAAAATCGCCGGAACAAAGTGAAAAAACCAAACAATATGACCGGCAACTCCGACTATGGGGAGATCATGGTCAGTCTGCACTCGAACATGGTCATATTTGTTTAATTAACGCAACAGCGTTAGGTACTGAAATATTAAAATCCATAGTATTGCCTGGGGTTGGGGCCATAACTATAATCGATGATAAAGCAGTCAGTGATGAAGATATAGGAAGCAATTTCTTCTTGAAATGCTCCAGTAAGGACTTAAATAGAGGTACTGAAACTTTGCGGCTTTTGCTAGAATTAAATCCAGCTGTCCGAGGGCATGCAGTTCAAGAACCTACAGATCAAATTCTTAGAGAAAACCCTGATTTCTTCAAAGCTTTTAGTGTAGTTATAGCTACATCCCTTGGAGAAAAAACTATTCAGGATCTAGCTCAACATCTATGGAATGTGAATGTCCCCCTGATCCTATGTAGATCAGTTGGATTTTTGGGATCTTTCAGGATTCAAATAAAGGAACATGCAGTCATTGAAACTCATCCTGATAATGAACAAACTGATTTGAGACTGGATGCACCATTCCAATCATTAGCAGATTACTTAGATAGTATTGATATAGACACTGTTGATTTAAAGGACCATGGTCACATACCATGGATTGTAATTATTTACAAAGCTGTGAAAAAATGGCAGGCCAGTAATCAAAATCGTTGGCCAATGAGTAGAAAAGAGAAGAATGAAGTGAAGTCTATTATTGGTGAATTCATTAGAAGGGATGAAAATGATGTTCCTATCAATGAAGAAAATTTTGAAGAAGCCATAAGAGCAGTCAACACTGCTCTTATGCCAACATACTTACCTGTAAAAAGTCAAGAATTGTTGTACTGCAGTGCTGCTACTAACTTAACAAAGGATAGCACTCCTTTTTGGATCATGTGCTCTGCATTAAGAGGGTTTGTTGAAGGTGAAGGAAAAGGCAAACTGCCAGTCAAAGGTGTGTTACCGGACATGACTGCATCAACAGAGCACTACATCAAATTACAAAATCTATACAGAACTCAAGCTGCAATGGATGCTGAAATAGTGTATAGAAAAGTGCAACAAATTGTTGCCCAATTACATTGTGAGAACATCAGTGAAGCTGATGTGAAATTGTTCTGCAGACATGCACATGACTTGCATCTCATTAGTGGATCTAGTATAGCTTCAGAATACCAGTTGACTAGTTCAGTGGCTTCTTACATAGCCAAACATTTAGAGGAGCCAGATGTGATGATGGTGCACTATGTATTATTAAGAGCTGCTGAAATGTTTGTATCAGAACACTGTAGAGCTCCAGGAGATTGGGAACCTGAGGGTGACATTGCTAAATTAAAGGCTTGTGTCACTAAACTCCTCAGTGATGTATCCTGTCCTCCTTTCCCTAAAGATGATCATGTCCATGAAATGTGTAGATATGGTGGAGCAGAAATACATAGTGTGTCAGCATTTTTAGGTGGTTGTGTAGCTCATGAGGCCATTAAAATTGTTACCAAGCAATATAAACCAGTGAATAATACATTTATATATGATGCTGCTTCTACTAACACTGCTACATTTACATTTTAAATGAATACTCGCTTTAATAAATTATTTGTAAACAATATGAGATTTCATTTCATTAAAATTTGATAGGGTAAAAATAAAATTGTAATAGTGCTATTATTTAAATACTTTACTATGAATTCAAGGATTTCATATCATTTATTTTATTTAACAGTACATAAACGTTAAGTAGATACAAATGTCTACTTAATCAAGTTAGTATGTAAAACGAGACAATCATTTTGTGATAAAAACCAACATTGCAGGGTGAAAAATATAAATAAACAGTGACTACAATATAATTCTTCAAAGTTGTGTATTTAGTTTGGACAATAACCACTTTAAAATCTTACAGTCAAAATATAAAAGAATTGATGAAAATATTTTCATTAACAATTTCAACACATAAATTAGATAAAACATATCACATGACTAAAAATAATTGAAACAAACTATACATTTGGCTAAATCTTCATGGATGGCAATAGAAAGTTACACCATAATAACAAGAGTAATCTGCATTAATTATGCTTAAGACAGCATGGCCTCCAGAAGTATGTAACACAACATTGAGAATTTCTCAGATACCTACTTATTTCACCTAAGCCATAACTTCAACCGTAATGCATCTACACCATTAAGATAATATCGAAATAAGCGTTTGTCCCGCACAAAGCCGAGATTCTCATAGAGCTTCAGTGCTGGTTTATTTGTGATTTCCGTTTCTAAAACTACTTCATCTGCATTGTCGTTTATCATTGCCTGTAACAAAAACAACATTGTTATGAAGAGTCCAGCAAGATGTTTTTTGGAAAGTACATAAAAAAATATAAATTAACAAAAGTAGGTTAAATATGACACCACTAACAACTTGCCTTCTGGTATTATCTATTTAGAAAGACTATCTTTTATGACAAAGAAATAAATTCATTTGACTATTCATCACTTGACTATTAAAAATCTATTTAAAAAGATTTAGCAGTAAAACCATGCAAGTTCAAGATCATTTTTTTTATTCTTTTACACTTAGCAGATTTCTTCTGTCTAGGCCTTTGACTGAATACAATTTCAGCAAGGACCTAACACCAATTGGATTGACACTATATGCATGACTTATATTTGGTTAGAACAACTCAGTATTTAGAAGATTATTTTATTTTATATGTCTGATTTAGTAGTAGAAATTTCCATCAAGCTCCATGTGTCATTAGTCGTTCTTCTTTATATTTACAATAAAGCAGTATGTACTACATTTTGTAAAATAAATGATTATGATTATGAATAAATGAATGAAATAAGCCATTGGTGGCTGATGTTTAACAGAAATTCAGCGGAGGTTTAACAAGATGTTAGAACAGCAGCAAAAGTAAAAAACTCAAGTGTTATTTAAAAAATTGCTCAATTGTATACGTACCTGTATTGCTTTTCGAACCAGTCTAGACCCAATCTTCCTCTTCCTGTACTTTTCATCAACGGCTAACATAGCAATGTAGCCTCTTTTTACCACATTACGATGCATATCTAACTTACAAACAATGGCACCAATACACTTCCCTTCGTGAGTTGCCAAGAAACAGAGCTTAGGCCAGTTGTGAATAAAATATCTATATGTGTAGATGGAATAGGGTTCTGACAAATCTTTTTGTATAAGTCTCATTATCTCTGGCATTTGAAGCTCAGATTCGTATGAAATAATTTCAATTTCATCTTCAGGCTGTTGCTCTTCTTTACTGACGACATTTTCGAGATTTACTAAAGCATCATCAAAAATACACCTGTCTGCAAGTTGCGCAGGCGCCTCTATGCTTTCACGTTTACATGTTCCGTCACTACACTGTACACTATTTACATCATTTACATCTTCACTCGGAATATCGACTTGGCTTTCCGAAACATGCTTCTGACTCTCGGGACTTCCATTTGGATGATCACTAGTCCCATTGGTTAGGTTTCTACTGATGTTATTTATATGAAGAGTATTGGCTAAAGAGTCGCTTAAGTTCTCTTGATTAGATATACTTATTTCATCCGGGTTTTCAGGATCTTTGGCCTTTTTACTTTTGTTTTTCATATTCGTGCCCTTCTGACTACACTTCATACTCTGAATATTTTCTTCGGTAAGTTGATTCATATTAGCGTTATTCTAACTATAATTATTTATACACTCAAATGACTGTAAGCTCATATAAATTCCACTTAAGCTTTCACGACGATACATACATCTTTTCCTTGTCAAAATTGTAGAAGAGTATCACCGACATCTTGGTAAGTATAAAAGCAACAGTTTCAATAAAAAGATGATCTGACTGTATCTCTGTGCGTTCTTAGGATAAAATAGACATATAGAAGTAAAATAATTTGGTGGTAAATAAGAATTCTGAAAATACTTCTTGAAAATATACGAAATTTTAATTTATGTCCAATGCCTTCCACAATCACATTGCAAAAAAATATCAGTCGCATTACAGTATCAGAAAACCGTAGTTGGTTGGGAGTGGGACATTGTTTTATTCCAATCAGAAAATGTAAGCAATTAGAAAGAGAAAGACATATATTATGCGTTTAAGATGTAATACGAAACTGTACCTGAAACGATACTCGGTGTTGCCAAATAAAACACAATGTTACTATATTAATGAAAACATTGCCACACTTATTATGACACTTAATTACACTTCCTATTCCTACACTGGGCTTAAGTTTAAAATACAAATATTTGTTAGGTTTTCCTAAACTTATATAGCTAGTAAATTGAATGTTTTGATTCGAGATTTCCATAAATATCTAAAACAATTTTTATGTATTCTTGTGATTTACAAAGCTTTAACTTGACTTTACCTACAAGGTAGAGCATATGTATGTACAACGAGAAATTTAATTTACTGCTAAGTATTTTTTACTTTTTGTCTATTTGAAAATTATTACCGTTAATTTAAATTACTAGGTACTTTATTTTAATAAAAGGCAATTATTCTATTTAAGATTTTAATAAAGAATCTTATTTTATTGGAGCAATACAAAATAAGTTATAGAAAGAAAAAAATATTCTAAAAGTGGGTAGGTAACAAATAATTTGATATTTTGGGATGCGAATAAAGCGTATTTGAATTACTAGGGCATTTGAGTTTAAAGTGCTAAGGATTCTATTAGGTTCATAAATGCTGACTAGCAATTTGAAAAACGTAGGCACATCATATTATTATTATATTATACATGCATAGTTCAAATAATCTCTAAGTAAAGCGTAAATTAATCGGACTAGGTATATATGCCTACATACGAATAATAATCTTGAATATTATAAGCATTGGATAAGTACCTACAGGATACTTTTTACCAACAAAATCAGAAGCATGGCTTATATAAATACACGGTCAATTGTTATATATATAAATGTGTAGATCGACTTAGCGCCCAACACGAATGCTTTGCTGACGTCATGAAGAGAATCAACATGGCTGGCGAGCGACTGAAAGCGCGCGCGTGTACCGCCGCGGTAGGTGGTGTGCTTGGTTCTAGTTCTACGAGTACTCGACTCGATCGACTCGAGACTCGAGTTCAGTACCCGGTTGACAGCCGGTGAGGCGGCGGCGTGACGTGTTGTTCCAAGCGTGTTTTACGCGCACGCCGCCTCTGCGCGATTTTCTATAAATTGTAAATAATTTTTGTATACAAAATTTATGACGTGCTAAAGCAGAACAGTACTATCAAGTGTGTGATTAACTAAGCTGTTTTTAAAATCAATCTGATATTGTGTTGTTTATTTATACGGACCACGTTATGTAGTGTCTGATACGATTTACTCTACTAGGGAGTAATGATTATCGTAAAATTCACAATGAAAACATGCATGTATTTATTAATTGAATGACGTATTAAGGGATTATACATGCATTCAATGTTGTGTGCTTGATTATTTTCTGTAATATAGTGTGCGTAGGTAAATGACTGCCTTCGATGGATATAAACAAAAAAGTGTTACGGATGATTTTCAATAAATCCTCCAAAGTGCTGAAAAATCCATTTGGAATTTGATGATTATAATATAATCAACAATGGCGGACCGTGAACGTCCTGCGAAAACCCCCATTAGGGTGGGTTTTTATGACATCGAGAGGACCATTGGCAAGGGAAATTTTGCCGTCGTTAAGTTAGCACGACATCGAATAACGAAGACTGAGGTAAGGGAATCAATCATTTGCTCAATTATTATATTAACTAATTTAAGTAATAAATCATAAAGTAAATACTCATTTTAGGAAGCCACTGCCAAGTGCCATTATTAGGCAGGTCCTTTCAAGAATAAGCGTGGGTAGTTTTTAAAGTTGTTAAAAATAAATCATTAACGTTATTTTAGAATGAAAGCTAAACGTGGGGAAATCCATGTTTTCGTGAATGTGGACGTAAAACAAACAAACAGAGCTAATAAAAACGTGCATACTTATCAGCTAGCTAGCGTCAGATAAAAATTGATGTCATTAACACGAGCACCTTCCTGAATAATCTAAATCTTTACAAAACATCAGCTTAAGGCCAAACTTTATTGTTTATTCATGTAACAGAAAAAGGATCAATTTATAATTCAAGGGATAACATCACACGTTTTGATCGCTTTAATTTAAGTACTTATTGTTTAATCTAACTTATAAAATATCCTGGAATAACGTTGAAGTTTACATTCAATTATATTTTTCGTTAGATATTGCACGCAATCAATTTCCAGTTACAATGCTTCGATTTTATGTCAAAATTTCTTAAAAAGCATTGATTCGGCTGTTGCATCTTAATGGACCATAAAACAATGTAATTAATTATAAAGTAGACCACAAATAAGTATAATAAATACTTAAAGATAACTGCTTAATTAATCAACTATTTATTAGCTGTGCATAATCGCAGGTTTAGTTTTTTCCCAACTAGATTGACTGGCCTATTCAGCTATTATAAGTTCGAAGAGAAAGTGGTAACCTAAGCAGAAATTTAATACAATCACAATACAAAGATGCAAAAACAACTAGGTAGTCTTAAGATGACCAACTTTCAGAATGACGCAAAATGGCGATTTCGTATACCATGGAATGCAGTGCAACGCTTTTTGATTCGAAAAATATTACGCATGTTGCGTAAGCGTATTTAAAATTGACGTATTTCGTAAGTTGGGCATTTTTAATAACTGTGGCAATATTTTTTTGTTTATTTACTTATTTCTCTAAACAGCAAATGACTGCAGGCTTTTTCTGTTTCGTCAAGAAGTGCTAACCGAACGCAAAAATCTGAATTAATTGTAAAAGTTAACTATAAAACATTAAGACTATAGTGTGTTGCCGCGATTTTATTTCTACTTTCTTCTTAATCGTATCTAACGATATTACTATTCAATAATAAGATTAATTGATTTATAAAATCAATTCGGTCAATCAAGCTCGTCGACAATGCTACTTATACTTATCTTAATAGAGATTTGCTTATATCTAAATATTTATCACCTCGTGATGTGTCAGACAAGAACACACCTTTCGTGGAAAATCGTCTTGCTAGGCGCTGTATAGGTAATTTATATAATTTAAAGAGGTCCTTACTTATAGCAAACAAAGGTTTTCTCTTCAACATAAGTTCAATAGTCACAAATTATTATGAACCCACATCAAGTTATATAGTCACGTTTGTGAGCCATATGTATAAGTTTTTATTTAACTTTACTATGAAAACACCATTGTTCTAATGTTTTGTTTAACTTCATAAGACTTCGCTTACGGAAATTGAACTTAAGATATTGATTGAGAAACATTCATTGTGCTATTCCTTTTACAATATAATTAATAACTAAGCAGTTAGAGAAACAGATATATGTCAACGTCCTATAGTTGTGGGAAGTATAGCAATCGGGCGTGATGTAGAATGGATGGTTGAGACTCCTAAGTGTCACCGACCGGTCGTTCGGATGGTAGCCCAGTCATTGTAGACCCACTCGTGACTCTCGTTCCTAAAATCTTGGGACTCGAGTTGGCACGCCCATTATCGCACTCATGGTCCTGCAAAAAGCTCAGAAGGCACTTCGAATTTCAAAGAAATAATGGAACTCTAAAAGTAATATTTCTCAAGAGCGATAGGAGCAAAATGTCGCTGTAAAGGTCATTTTCTATTTGTAAACTTCAAACTGAAGTATGTTTGTAGCAGATATGGTGAACGTATAGATTGCACTTTACGTATTTATGTATAATACAGATCACAATTATTGCGTTCGTAGAAACCACTTCTTAAAAGTTTGAAACGAAAATGTTATAATGTTTGTGGATACTGAAATAGGACAATAACGTATTTTCACCTGACAAAAGCAATCGATTAAATAGCCAACATTAATCAAAATATTATTGGCTACGTTATTGTCAAATTATGGATAAGTAGATTTCTGTACGGCAGGTAAATAAAAAATATAGATTTTCTCTAAACGAAGAAACCAAGTTTCGTAACGATTCAAAAAAGAGTTTGAGAGACTTCATTTCATCAATATTATTCAGTCTAGTAATCATAGAAGTGAAATGGGTACACGCAGTTGTAGCCAAATGTTTCAATCGTTAACTGAAGAAATAACTATTTCAATAGCCACCAGGTATAAAAGGCTACTTACAGTCGTACGAGTCTATGGCACCGAAGTGGGTCATTGGCCGAATACTGTACATCGTCGTCGTTGTGAATGACTCACGGCGCACGGACTGCGTTTATGAACGACTTTTTAACTGGCGATTACATCGATTTCAGGGTTCCTGCTACTATAATGCGGAATATAAATAAAGACTTTTGTTTAGAATCGACGGTGATCATGACGCATCGCAGAAAGTGACTTACGAGGACGCGACGTTGAATGAATGCACCGAAATAACAGAATGAACGCCCTCGGCCTTCGCTACTGTACTGGTTTGCTGTCTAAAATGTGGATGGTTACCTTATACACACAGCTTGTATACCGTAAATCCGGTTTAATGTTTACACAATATTAGTGAGATCTGTTACTCAGTCTACTTAGGAAACTTTTTGAAAATAAATCTAATATAGAACTTGTTAGCTTTAAGTTTCCTTGAATCTTCTCTCGTCTATAGATTTAACTTATTCTCAATTAAAACATAATTCTTACTAATTTTCAAGTCAATGTGCAAGCGGCGCTGAAAACCGGCGTAAATGTAAACAAAGCGCCAAAAAAGTAATTTGAAAAAGTTGGCGAAACATTATGTTTCGAGGAACGCAGCTATCAATCAGTGATTCAGCGTAGTCGGTTGGATGAGGTCGAAACGAGCGTCGGCGGCGGGCTGCCGCGTCCAGAAATACCACGGCATCGACCTTGCCTCTGGTGCACGCATCGTCTTGTTTTTATTATTTTACTTTTTTCAGTGCGAGCCGTTAACACCAAGGTGACGGCCAGACATTCGGCGCTCCAAACGCGTAGTCACCTGTTTCATAGCTCATGTTGAGAAACATTTCATTCATAT